AAACAAGGTTTTCCTAGTGAATTTAAATAATGCAGACATGAACAATACATAGTGCAATTTACTGCCAAACATATTTTGCTACATCTTGCCAGGTGCGTTACTACAGAGTTACATCAACATAAAATGAAGCACAAACAGTGAATAAATTTTACTGAAATACAAATGGCCTCTCTCGCTACATTGTTCATCTAACTGGCAGAAGTTTACATTAGTCACATGACTTAACAAAGTACCACAACATTTATAATGAATTCCTTCTGTTTACACAAGAAGGGGTTGTTTTACTCTTAAAGCTTTAGAGTCTCAGCATTTGCCTGTTTGGTGTGTGGAAAATCACATGAAAAGCACATCCTTGTCATTTACATGTCCAGAATCAAGCAAATGACATCCTTTAGACAAAGTGGGTTCTTTCCCATTGACTTGTCTCGGATCCTTGTGGAATCACTTAACTGTGCATGAAGCCATCATATGTTTTGCCACTCTTGTTTTCAAGCTGTCGCTCCGTTCGACCAATATAAGTCAAAAGCCATGTAAGTCAGTTATAAACAGGTCCCTAACTATTTCAGTAGAAGGAAATTTATAATACATTTATTGGCTATTCGCTACATGTACACAATGCTGCACACTTTGTGTCCAATTGTTCCTTTATTTTACACATTCTATTTCAATAAGTACTGCAACTCTTTCTGTGTGTAGGAGTTTTATTTTTTGATTCCCAGAGATCAAAATGTCAACATCTGTAGGATGGGAGTTATGAACATGACTTGTATGTTACACTGGGGTCTATTTTACAATAGAGCTTATGTTGTAATGGGGCCCGATGTTACACTGGGGTCTATGTTGCAAGAGAGCCTATGTTACACAGGGATCTGTGTTGCAACAGAGCCTATGTTGCAATACAGCCTATGTTACACTGTGGTCTATGTTGCCTAAAGAGGTGACTAAGCAGTGTTGGTGTGAGACTGACTACTTTCCTACAAACCTTTTGCTGCAGGACACTTTATAATGGAAACAATATAATGGACACTATAAATCCCAATTATAGCCCTGAGGGTTGAACAGGATGAGGGAGATATAGCTAATATAAGCTTTTCCCGAATGCTGTGATGTTGAACCTTTACCTAGATAAACCCCAAAGCAACCATGACCATATCTACAAAAGGCTTGGCATAAGTTACTTGAGAGTGCTTTTATTAGAAGATGACAGGCAACAGAAGGGAAGGAAGAAGATGTGTCAATTATTTATTTATGTTACCATCATTGCCACTGTGCGGAACAGAACTTTGAGATTGTCTGGCAGTTCTGATCTCCCAGCATAGCCTGGATTCATCGTAATGCACACATAACAGTTTGGGTTCAGCTTCAACTCTGTGCCCTCAAAGATGAATCTGTCTAGATGTCCTTGCACTGCTCTGATGATGCATAGAATCTGTTGAATGACACAGATTGAAAAATTATCAGCTTTAGAATTAGTAGTGATTTAAAAAGTCTAGAACTTTAGCTTTTAATATACAACAATAAATTAGATATTGTAGACAATGAATATTTTGTGGAAGGTAAAAACTCAAAAACATTGTGACAAGTGGCTATTTAAAGGCAAAAGATCAGAGGGAAAACAAAGGGATACATACCTACATAGCTTGACCATATGGATGAGTAGAACAAGAGCAATGATCTGTGATTTTGGTGATTGTGTGGGCTAGAAAACTATAAGAGTCTAAGCTTTCAGGAGGTTGCATGAAGATTGTTGTGTGCTGAATTCACTAGGTTGGTCAGAGGCGTAATCGCCTATGCCAGTCGTATGGCACAGGATGATGATGGTAACAGAGATGTCTGCAAAAAGGGGTCCTTGTGGCTTGAGGTGAGAGACGAGTGGAAAGGTCTACAAGGTGCACGAAGAAGAGGTGTTTCTGGAGAATCACAACTTAAAAGTGGTTTGCACGTGCTTAGCAAGAACCATGCAGGGTCCGAGCGCTGAGCTAAGGGTTGGTCATGTGTGTTAAGTTTAGTGCCTTTCAGCCAGTCCAATCGTGTGGACACATGTTCCGATGACTGTGAATTTTTAGCAGTAATTATGTGCATCATTTTAGTTCAGTGAAAGTTTATCTTGTGCATTAGAATTTGGTGTATGAGTCAAAAAACTCCTGTTGTGTGGATTTTGTGGAGACAAAGTGTGGAGAGCCCAACATGTTATTTGCTACTATGATCAACAGAAGTCAGGCGGTGAGTTGTGGGGGAATTGCGAGGACGTGATTGAACTGAAGTGTTGGTTATGGCTACTGGTGACCACAAGAGTGGGCCAGGAGGCCCAAGGTGTATGTTGCGGACTCACACCGAGTCGAGGCTGGGTGTTCCCTTTCATGTGAAAGCCTTGAAAGCATATCATAGTCTAAAGGTGGAGCATTAGATGGACAGTCTTCATGTATCACCAGTTCATTGTCATCGTCATACTGTGTTGTGTCCTTTTAAATAGACTGAAGCACGATTAAAGAAATGACTCTTCCAGTTATGTTGATGTGGTTAGATGATGACACTATAAACCTTGGATATATTTTATCTAGGAAGATTCAGCTTTGATTCTTCAGTCTGATACGTTGACCTTTAAGATATCTGAGCCCCAAAAAGTCTTTTATTTATTAGAACAAAGCTTTTATACAATTTTCTTTTTCCTGACCAGGCACCAGAGTAGGTTATCATTTCTCCAGGAAATGCTGTAGAGCTCTCCTATGTCTTTTCAAGCCTGATATAAGCATTCTGGTACCCATTCAGGTACTGGAAATTCCCTCCGCGGGGCGGCATTAGAATGTTACATGGTGTTAATTCATCACAGCACATACAGGTTTTAACTTTAACCTTTAACAGGCTGTATGGGATTAGTTGTTGGCTGGTAATATTTCCTCCACAGGTTTTCATTATTTCCTTGCCAAAAAGCTCCAAAGCAATTTCCTGTGGAAGTGAAAAACTGAACCAAACATGGCCGTGGATTTTCCACATACATTAAATGCTATGCCAAGTGTTCAACACACTCTGTTCTTCTTCTGCTCCTCCTGAAATTTCCCATAGATGAGTGGTTGGCATGTTCTGTTGTGGTTTAGAGCTAGGCTCCAGAATCTGTGCGTGTCAGCCCAACAGCATGCCTTCAAGGGGCCGCCCCACACACCCCCTAAATGGGCCCCACATGGGAAACACTCTCACCCTTAGTTATTGATAAGCACATTCTTAACTTTACATGTAAATAGTTTCAACAAATGTCTTTGGACAAACAATAAATATGAATAATAATCATAAAAGCTAGAATAAAGGAGAATGCTGAACAAGACAAGGATCAATTAACATTTAAAAGGTACACCAGACTTGGTAGATTTCCTGGGGCAAGATGAGAAGAAAATAACTTTTTAAAGGTACATCATACTTGGTAGATTGAATTTCCTGGGGTAAGACAAGGATAAAATAACCTTTAAAATTTACATCAGTGTTGGTCGATTAAGATTGCCTGGGGCAAGACGATGATAAAATAACCTTTAGAAGGTACACTACACTTGGTAGATTGAGATTGCCTGGGGCAAGACGAGGATAAAATAACCTTTAAAATTTACATCAGAGTTGGTCGATTGAGATTTCCTGGGGCAAGACGATGATAAAATAACCTTTAGAAGGTACACTAGACTTGGTAGACTGAGATTTCCTGGGGCAAGACAAGACGATGATAAAATAACTTTTAGAAGGTACACCAGACTTGGTAGAATGAGATTTCCTGGGGCAAGACAAGACGATGATAAAATAACCTTTAGAAGGTACACTAGACTTGGTAGAATGAGATTTCCTGGGGCAAGACGATGATAAAATAACCTTTGGAAGGTACACTAGACTTGGTAGAATGAGATTTCCTGGGGCAAGACGAGGATAAAATAACCTTTGGAAGGTACACTAGACTTGGTAGAATGAGATTTCCTGGGGCAAGACGAGGATAAAATAACCTTTAGAAGGTACACTAGACTTGGTAGATTGAGATTTCCTGGGGCAAGACGATGATAAAATAACCTTTAGAAGGTACACTAGACTTGGTAGAATGAGATTTCCTGGGGCAAGACAAGACGATGATAAAATAACCTTTAGAAGGTACACTAGACTTGGTAGAATGAGATTTCCTGGGGCAAGACGATGATAAAATAATCTTTGGAAGGTACACTAGACTTGGTAGAATGAGATTTCCTGGGGCAAGACAAGACGATGATAAAATAACCTTTGGAAGGTACACTAGACTTGGTAGAATGAGATTTCCTGGGGCAAGACGATGATAAAATAACCTTTGGAAGGTACACTAGACTTGGTAGAATGAGATTTCCTGGGGCAAGACAAGACGATGATAAAATAATCTTTGGAAGGTACACTAGACTTGGTAGATTGAGATTTCCTGGGGCAAGACAAGACGATGATAAAATAACCTTTGGAAGGTACACTAGACTTGGTAGATTGAGATTTCCTGGGGCAAGACAAGACGATGATAAAATAACCTTTAGAAGGTACACCAGACTTGGTAGATTGAGATTTCCTGGGGCAAGACAAGACGATGATAAAATAACTTTTAGAAGGTACACCAGACTTGGTAGATTGAGATTTCCTGTGGCAAGACAAGACGATGATAAAATAACCTTTAGAAGGTACACTAGACTTGGTAGAATGAGATTTCCTGGGGCAAGACAAGACGATGATAAAATAACCTTTAGAAGGTACACTAGACTTGGTAGAATGAGATTTCCTGGGGCAAGACAAGACGAGGATAAAATAACCTTTAGAAGGTACACTAGACTTGGTAGAATGAGATTTCCTGGGGCAAGACGATGATAAAATAACCTTTAAAATTTACATCAGAGTTGGTCGATTGAGATTTCCTGGGCACTGAAGCACATCATACCCACAAATGTGACAGAAATAAGGTAATATTATTATCCAAAGAAGAAGATGACATTGATTTAAAAAAATAGGATATATATCCATACCTGCTGGGCTACCACAGACAGAACTTCCAGATCAATGCGGTTAAATTCGTCAAAGCATGCCCAAGCACCAGCCGAGGCAAGTCCTTTGAAAAACTGGCAATGAAAATAAATAAACTGTTGAGCTGCAATCCCATAAACATCTCTAAAATGTTGGCCATAAACAACCAGTCCCTCTAGTTATTTGTCATTTTTATATTTCAATGGATGTCACATACTGTCTTTAAGTACTCTTCTATTACTGTGAAGCAGAAAAAAAAAGAAGTCAGTATAGATTTTATCTTTAAAATATGAACATTTATCCTTGCCTCAGTGATATTTTATCAAGAAACAAACTCAAATAGGTTTCTAATGTATGTATGTTTCAGGAGTTTTCTTTGAGAAAATATAGTTGCTGATCTATTGCAGGCTATCTGTACTGACATCCTTTGTTTTGGATTCACTGATTGGTTGATTAACTAAGAAAGTGACCGCTTGCTCAATGAATGAATTGAGTGGTTAGCTAATTGACTGATCAATCAACAGATAATTACACTGTCTATGTGGCTGACTTATTGACTAAGTGATTGATCAGCTAATCATTCAACTAACAAATTAATTGGCTAGTTGAATGACCATTTGATGAATTAACTACTTGACTTAGTGATTGACCAAGTGATCAATTAATTAATTGATTGATTACAGACTGATAAACTATCTGACTACTGACCAACTGTTTTGCTGATGTACTGTCTAACTGAATGACTGACAAATTCGCTGCTGGATTTACTGTATTAGCAATATTTAGACTTATTGACTTACTGGCTGATTTATTGGCTGACAAACTGACATCTTAAACAGATCATGTTTCCTGTCCGTTTATAATAAAACAGTCAAGAAGCATTGGTAATACTAACTTTTCCCATAGCAATGTAGTCCAGCCCGTCTGAGCAGTTAAAGACCACGCACTGAACAGCTATTGCCTTGGCCAAATCTTTGGTTGTTTCCGTCTTGCCTGTTCCTGCTGGTCCTTCAGGGGCCCCGTTGAGGTTCAGATGAAAAGCCCCTACAAGAGTTCTGTTCACAGCCATATGTTCATTATAAATATACAGAAAATTACTAGAAGCTAAAAGACTAGAGAATAAATTATGACAATCCTCGTAATTTCCTCTATCTCCCTGACCCCCCCTTTTTTTTACAACCCCCCCCCCCATCCCACCCCCCTCCCCCAAAGCATGTTGTAAAAAGTAAGGCGACTAATGATGGGTTTGCTCAAATCAGATGCATTAGGATGAAAGGCACAAATACTGCAGTTTAGCTGTAAACCACAACTTAGTGTGCCAATTGCCCTTTTAAGGGTGAAGGAAGAAGAAGAAGAAGAAAAAAGAATGAACAAATGAACTAACAAACAAACTTTATTTTCAAAGGGTTACAAATTGGGCACACGGGCCCGTCTTACATTCGGCCCTTTCGAGCACTCGTCTTTCAGACCATCATTGCATGTTATCGGTAATGCATGTTATGTCTACATAAAAATATACATAATTAAATAACGCATGCAGCCATCATATGTACAGAATCATACACACTCAAAAACACACAGGTACACATACACTTACATGCTCATACATACAGAGACACATACACACTCATACACATACACACACACATGCACTAACATGCGTTTGCATGCATGCATGCATGCAAACACGCATGCACAGGCATGCAGACACACTCACATACTCTCAGACACACTCACACACACTTACATACACACAATCACTCATTATTCACACACACATATACATAACCACAACCCACCCACCCACCCACCAAGCCAGCCATCCACCCGCCCGCACACACTCACACACACACAAACACATACACACACACACACTAGAGTGCACTACATGAGAACAGCAGGTTACACACATACATACATACATAAACACATACATACACACACACATACATTCATACACACATACATACATACACACATGCATACATACACACGTACATACAAAGAAGATGATATCTTAGAAAAAAAAAACTCCACCCCAAGTAGGGGATTCCTTACCTGTAACACCTGTCTGTGAGGGGTGTAATCACAAGCCGGCCCGAGTTACCCAGGTATTCATTGCAGTATTTGACTGTGGCATTGGTGATTCGTACAAGCATCTTGTTGTCTTCAAAGTAGTAGCGCAGCTGCGACAGCCAGTTGAAGTCATTTTCTGTGGCGACACCTAGTAGAGAATATTAAGCTGAGTCACAGTGTGTGCAAGATGTTGTCTTCTCTTAGCTGAATTCAGCTGATTTAAGCACTTTCACGACAGTGCTCAGGACATTTCCATAAATGCCCCATTCCCATCTTCAGCAGCCAGTACAGAGTCCGAGTTCCAGTATAACCAACGGCAGGTTTTTTACAATGGCTGATCCATAAGCCCTTTTATGACTACGAAAGAAATGACATAGAAAGCTGAAATTTGGTACAGTGTTTATTCCTTTTCATTATAGCCATCTCCCAAATTTAAACATTTTTGCTATCTCTGCTTGATCTTGAAAAGACCTTAGGAATAGAAAACCCTACTTTTAGAGCTAAACGGGTTATCAGGTCAGTGTGACTTCTTCATCACTGGCAAATTGAATTCCTTTTATCTGTTTTTAAAGATTTGGAAACAGAAAAAAAAGTATGAGGGTGCCAGATCTGGTGAATTTCAATATTCAAAATGGTGGCTGTTAGCTGCATTATCCGTGCTTTGTGAGTTGTCCTAAACAGAAGGAGAGTTGTCCTAAACAGAAGGAGAGTTGTCCTAAACAGAAGGAGAGTTGTCCTAAACAGAAGGAGAGTTGTCCTAAACAGAAGGAGAGTTGTCCTAAACAGAAGGAAAGTTGTCCTAAACAGAAGGAGAGTTGTCCTAAACAGAAGGAGAGTTGTCCTAAACAGAAGGAGAGTTGTCCTAAACAGAAGGAGAGTTGTCCTAAACAGAAGGAGAGTTGTCCTAAACAGAAGGAGAGTTGAGTGCAAGCGATCCCTTATTTTCTTGTTACAACTTTTCTAAGTTTTGTAAGGAGACCTAAATAATACTGCCCATTGGCACTTTCAGGTATTCTTTAAAAAGTACAACGCTGGTGTCCCAAAAAAATATCAGCATCACTTTTCCTGCAGACTTTTGTGCTCTCTCTGTTTGACAGGTGGCAGGGAACCTGGCGTTTTCCAGAGCATGCTAGCAATTTTGGACTGGGGGTCAAAATGATGAAAATATTTTCTGACAGACTCTTTCTGAGCAACTGTCAACAGCACGATACCCTTATTTCCTTCTGTTCACATGTTAGCAGGCATGAAGCCCAGCGGGCACACCCTTTTATAATTTTAATTCTTTTGTGTAAAAGTCTAGCAACTTTCACTGTTTAACTGCACTAGAAATGTCTTCAGTAATCCTCTTGGACGTTAACTGTCTTCACTTTTTCTGCATTTTCATCAGTGCTCTCAGAGGGCAGTCTTCCGCATCTTGGCATACCAACAAAAATAATGCAACCACCTTTACTGCCTGCACCATTTTTTTTTTAACCAAAGCGTTTGAAGGGGCATTTTTTCCTTTCTAAAATACTGGTTCCATCTCCCGGTATATTTCTCTTGGTGTTTTACCCTGCAACACTGGGAACTGTATCACAGATCTGGCATCCCTACAGATTTGTGGGGAACAATTTACGCAGTCGATCTGGTCAACAGGGCATACCGCATTGTGCAGCATTACAAAAACAAAACCTTTCAAAGGATCAACTGCAAATATCTCACATTTAGTTACAATATAATGAGCTACAATTTGCCAAATTTCAGTAGTTGTTTTTTCCAATTACTCCTTCATAATCAGGGTAAGAACTTATGGATCATCCCTCGTATATGTCTATCTTGCCTTTTATTTAAGTGTTGGCTAGATCCCTAAGTCTCTCCCTGCTGTGTGGTTATCTCCAGGTCACTTTTTTTTTTATTCAAACAGGTTTTAAAAATTGTACATAAAACAAAACATAAAATATACCTATGTACACATAATTATTGTACATAGGTATTGATGTACACTCTGGGCATCAGTTTGGGGGCAGCTTTTTTTTAACCCTTCCAATGTAGTTTTCTTTTTTTCTTCCCCCCCCCCCCCCCTTTTTTCCTTTAAAAAAAAACAAAAAAACGCTTAATACATTTTTTTGGGTGATCATAAGTGTGGATGGTCATAAGTGGCATAGGATATAAGTCAAGTTTAAGTAGCATATTCTAGCTATGTTACCTTTGTTTGCCATGTCCAGTATAACATCGCGGGCATGTACGTCAATGACGACCAGAGCCCCAAGAGTGATTCTCTGTTGTTTTGTCAGTTTGCCTCTGACCAGTGCAACTAGGTCATTCATCTGTAAAAGTTTAGAGCAGACAGTCAACAGCAATAAGAAAAAAGATTGATAAAATGTTGTGAAGAAGACGTATTTGTGTATACATGGGAAACAGAAAATAAAAAGATAAGAAACATTATGACTGATCATTTGCACCAAAACTGAACTAAACTTCTAGTGGTGTGGAACCGTTAGTGTTAGCATGTCTGACAGCTGCCTCATGCATTTACTTCTGCTAGGACTGACGAGTTTTTCACTAGTTTTTAGACAGGACAGTGAATGACATTTTGTTTGATTTGCATGGGCCCGGGAACACAGAAGTTTTAATGTCTACAGTGATTTGGAACCTCAACTAACGGATTATATATTGGAGACCATGGCACAGCATTGGTTAGATGTGAACCTGATGTTCTGAAGAACTTGGGTTCGAATCAGGACTAAGGTTCTTTTTTTTTTTAAATTACCTGCAAATACACGGCCACCCACTGAAAAATCGATTGACAAGGCTCACATGCCAAACATACTGTAAAGCACAGGAACTAGTATTTTACTGAATTACAAATTTGTGGCGGAGATGTAGAGAATACACAGAACAGATTAAAAGAGTAATGAACATGTCTTGAAAGAAACTGACCATGAAGAGAACTGAATGCCCACATCAGAAGGTGACAATTTATATTCTTTAGTCACATGAATGAAAAAATTGGGGTACGTTGTGATGTTGGAAAAGTTGGATCGGGAAAAATGGCAGAGGAAGACTGAAAGGATGCTGGACAGTTTGACATCCTGGCAAGGAAGATCATCTGTGTCAGAACTGATTGAAAGTACATGAAACTGAAAGTCGTGGACAGACACGACTACCAATGCCACACAGCAGGGAGTATTAGAAGATTTAATTACACACAGGAGGAAAACTGTAAAAGAAGACTCAGATGCTTTTGTCTAGACTAGAGACAGTCTGACTATGGAGGTCAGGGTGGTAGCTAAAGCTATATTCTGGCTGTGACACAATGAGTATGCTCAAGAAGATAGAGAAAAGCTGAGCCCAAGACAGTGGTTGGTGTGATGTTATGTTATCACAATCTATGTCACTGCACATTGGGCATTCCCATGAGTGCTCAGTCCTCCGATGCAGCAGCCACTCCTAAGTACTTCTACTAATTTTTCCAATGAGAAGCTGGTTATATTGTCTCTTATCTTGGCCTTGAAGACGGCACAGATGTGCTTCAGTATGCTTTACTCCCATGTCATGCAATCGTGTTAGTGTCAGGGATTCCTTGTTATCCACAAGCCCAGTCTGTACAGCGTTCACGATATCTGCTTTGTCCATGCTTCTTGCCACATGCCTTAGTGGAATGCTTGCCAGTTGGTCTGCTCGCTCCTTTACACCCGCATAACCAATTGTGTAGATCCAGGTAAGAGAGGTTAAGTGAGATTTTTGAATTCTTTCCACTCACTCAGAATGCACACAGCCTGTTGCTATGGTGTCTCTGAGGTGGTCTTGGCTGACAAAGATCAGTTTCATTTTTGGTGCCAGGGTATGCAGACATAGAAGGAATTAACAAGTTGATACGCTTGCAAGTAGGGCTAATATGGATGGTGGACAATCAATGACCCAGCATGATATACTCAATGCTCTACGAGAAGTAGGACTTTTGCATAAATCAAGTGATGACTGTAAATTAGCAACCACGTCCAGACTGCGAGAACAGAACAGGAAAAAGGGTATGGCCAGAGAAGTACACTATGCAGGAAGCCAAAGAAGAATAATAAACAAATACAGAGCTGGTCTTATCAGCCGCAATACGCTGTGGGATTTACTGAGGGAAGGGGGGGGGGTGGGGGTGGAGGGGGCGCGGCAATACAGGCACTTATAGAGTGAATGGTATGATAGGCAATAAGGATAATCTGTCAACTAACTAGCTAACTTACACACATGAATGAATGAATGCCTAAGACAGAGTGTACCTGTAGTTTCAGCTTATCATAATAGTCCCTGAGACCCTGAGGACCAGCTGGTATCACCTCATGCACCTCTCTTGTCCAGAATGCCTGAAATGAAAGTTGCAGGACTGTTATCACCAGAGCTCTTTTATTTTTCTATCTAGAAGGGAAAAAAGTGCTGATGCGTACAACAAATTTTTTTTTTTTTTTCAAGTGTTGGTACTCACAGCAAACGGGAGCAGCCACGGTCTAGCGGCTAGATGCTCACCTGCGGATCAGAAGGTCGTGGGTTTGGTTGCTGACAGGGACCGGACTTTGTTCAAAACTGACCTTGGCTCCCATGTCGACCCAGCCTTGAGTGGGTACTAGTTGTTACAATCCTGGTAAGTAAAGGCAGCAGGCATGAGACTGACTACATCATCCACCAAGTGCCGTTGGTCTATAAAATATAGATCTAGCCCTATATACCCAATATGCCTGAAGGCAATGGAAAAGGGTCCTTCACTTACTTAACTTTACTCACAGCAAACTGTCGGTTACAAGTGTGCTGAAAACAGATGCCTAAAAAGGTACCGCTGTGAACCATCAGAATAAAAAAAAAAATGTGATTATCATAATTAGATCAAAACACATGCTGACACAACAGTGCAATAACTACATGCCTGCAAAGCAGCACCAAAGAGATACATCATCTTCTTCTTCTTGTCATTCACTTGCTGTTAAAGTTCTGGTTGTTTGGCCATTTCTGGACTTTAGTTGAGTTCTGTGTGCACATTCATTTAAGAAATTGAGCTTATTTGTAAGCAGACGTTTGGTTCACTGCCTCTGAGGCAGATGCACTGTGACTTCAAAGGAAACTACCAGAATTAGTTGACTTTTATGAAATGCTTGTTGGGGTATGGAGGAGCGGTGAAGGGGGCAGTGGACCTATTCTATCCCCTCCCCCCCCCCTCCCCCAATCTCCTCCGGCAAATGGGGCCCTGGAACCCACACTGAAAACAAATGTTGATGAGAGAGGGCAAAGGAAGGATTGCACAGGACAGAATGAAATAGAGGAATAGACTGTAAGCCCTACGTAACATACAGTGGCACAACAGGATGATGATGAATTTAAAAAATATAAACTGAAAATAATAAATGCTAATAAGTATCAGAGTAACATAAATCAATGAACAAAGGAAGGTAAAAAAACAAGTTCGGGTAGAAGGGATTAAACAGCACTAGAAGCAGACTTGAGAAAAACATATCCTATAATGAGCCACCAATCTCCCTGTGTAGGTTCTGAGGTGCCATTGAGGGGAAAACAAGAATAGCATGTCCTAAAAGTAAACTAATTGAGGGGGGGGGGGGGGCCTTTGAAGTTGGAGTATATCTGCCCGAGAGGTAAGGAACAACCAGCTGCACACAAATAAGCCAGGAAAATCGATGTATGCCCCTCCCTGGCACAAAGCCAAAGTCCAACTGGACGAACAACCAGGTCTTTCCACCAGAACTTAAGACAGTGCATCAGTGAATAAAGAAGAAAGGTAATTAAAGTAGGTAAGTTTTACTCCACCAGGACATCACACAAGCGATAAACACCCGGTGACACAAAGTGCCACCATGAGGATGAAGATCAACCATGGAGAGGCCCCGGAAACCCCATTCAGCCGTTAGTCCATATTCAAGGCCCGGCTATATTTAGGGCCCCCAGCAAAAGCCAGGGTGAGGCTTCAAAATAACTAAAAATTGCAATCCTCATGTGGACGACAGTTAAAGAAGAAAGAAGAAGAAGAAGTCACAAATAAAGACACGGTAAGGGACTGGTAGAGTGAGTTTACAAATATGTACATATTAAAAAAAACCACCACCACTGCCTGTATATACTATTTTTTGGATTGTAGGTAAAAGACATCTCTGATCCTGCAGATTTAAGGCCGAATAGCTAGTGCATTCACCATAGAGTGTACAGGCTAGGATTATACTTTTGCACCCAAAAGAAAAATCCCATAACGTTACCAAGCATTTGAACCTGGGTCTCTGACAAGAGAGCTCAGGGGTATTATATGCTGGGCCAGCTGCTCTCTAGGAGTTTACCATGACTAACGATGGGTACCAGAATGCATCACTGAGAAATAAAGGTAGATGGCCGATATTGGTCACATCTTCTATTAAGTGATAATAAATGCACTATTTATACAAAGTCTGTGCTAGCTATCAATGTTAGATGTGGACAGTCCCTAAAAAACAAAACAAACATAAAGACAAAATCACAGCACATGAGATGAGATGTTTAATAAATGCAACAGAAAAACACCAGAAGAGATAGAATCACCAGCAAAGAACTAAGAACAATGGTAGCCACAATACTGGTAAATGATTTTTTTTTTAAAACAAGAAAGAATGGAATGATTTGGTCATCTAGTCAGTATGGAACAAAATCAGCAAGCAGCTACAGCGAACTACATGAGAACAGCAGGTTACAAGTTAAGAGGTCAACCAAGAAAGAGATGGATGAAGGGAGTAAAAGAGATACTTCAGAAACGCAATATGAATTAACAAAAGCTTCACAACTAACAAAAGACAGGGAACTAAATCTAACTCCTCTCTGGAATGCTTTACAGAGTAAGCAGTAGGACAAAAGAAGAAGAAGAATCCAATGAGTTTCAGCTGGTCTATACAAATAATGGACTCACACCAGACACCCAGTGCACCTCAAGAAGTGGAACTGGATCTTTTACCTCACAACAAGCTGGCCCAAAGGTCTCGAGTTTGAACCCGCACTGTGGCTGATTTTTTATTGTTTTTTTTTTTTTTTCAAAACTGTCCACGGCTCCCAGGTTTTCGGAGCTTAAAATGGCTACTGTGTAACATGATTGAAAGTAAAGGCAGCTGATGTGATGATGAGTAATTCACCCAAGTGCCAACTGGTCAATGAAAATATGAAATCTAGAATCTTATGTCCGACGTGTCACTGGCATGAAAAAGATTCTTTACTGTTACTTCACAACCAAATGTTGATTGAATTCCTCTTCTTGTTATCCATTTAGTTGTTATAAAGTTGATCTTCTCACCAAAGATAAAAAGATAGTTTTATTAAATTAATAAACACAAACATTCTCCAGCAGCAGTACAGCAATCCAGTACAGTTTACCTGTGATACACAGAGCACAACCTGTCCAGGCCATTCTCGAACCCATTCTGTTCGTGGAGTCCGAGGGTAAGCCTGTGATGGAAAATATGAAAGAGAAAATATATATATATATATATATATATATATATATATATATATATATATATATATATATATATATATATATATATATATATATATATATATATATATATATATATATATATATACACACACACACACACACAACTCAGATGATGGATAACACATGCAGTTATTAAACTTTCAAAAACAAACAAACAAACAAAACTTTAAAAATATAAAATTATGCACACCTTAAATAAACTAGAACAAAAGGACTTCATTTTCTAAGAGTTAATAACTAGTTGCACAGGCCCATCTGACATTTTGCCCTTCTGACCTTACTCTGGTGATAAATTATTTTATTCATTAAAACCAAAACTTATTTGGAGCTTCAATGACAAAAGTGTTTATGCAGCATTATTTCTACACAGTTCTTAAGACTCAAGTCAGTGTACGATATTGCTTATTATTACAACCATTCAAGTATTCAGTGTGCTATTAATTATGTTTCTAAAGTGATTCATACTAAGTGTTTTCTAGGGGTTTCTATATTTTGTTTCCTTCAAAAACAGACCTAATTTTTGTAACCTTCTATCAAATGTGTTTATTCCACATTTGAATGTGTGTATGAGTTTGTATAAAACCAGACGTACTTTTGTACATAAAGTAGAGATATGATAAATAAATATAAAGAAACAACCAAAAGTAATTACAGAAATAAACACAATTCTCAAATTAACCATCAGTTTGTTTCCCCGAATGAAGTTACAACTGACTGTTAAAGTATAGAAATCACACACTTTCAATTACTTCCCGCTGGCCAAAAAATATTTATATATTAACATTTGGCTGTGAATCCTGGACAATAAGTAGGCAGGCCAAACAATTTCTAGAGGCTTCAGAGATGTGGTTTTACAGAAAAATGCTTAGAATACCTTGGACAGCCAAAAAGAGCAACCAAGAGGTTTTGAAAGAGGAGGGAGCCAGAAGACAACTTTTCACAGACATCATTTTTTGGCCATGTTATGAGAAGAGGGAAAATAGAACATGTTGTGACCACTGGAAAGATCTGTGGAAGGAGGGACAGAGGAAGACAACGAGAGAAGATGCTTGACAGTCTTGTTGCATGGCAGAAAGGTGTGTCGGCACACAAACTGATACATGCTGCAGGAGATCGCAGATTATGGAGAGGCATGATCGCCCACGCCAGTTGGCAAGGCATCTGATGATAATATATATATATATATATATATATATATATATATATATATATATATATATATATATATATATATATATATATATATATATATATATATATATATATATATATATATATATATATATATATATATATATATATATATATATATATATATACATATATTCCTACCTCCACTGCTCTGTCTATAACATCACGGACTGACATCAGCATCACATCCTGCACTTGCAGTAGCCACCTCTCAACAGCCCCACGTGCCTCGGAGGTGGAGATTATCTGGGTGAGCAAAATCTTCTCTCCTTCACTGCTGAACATGGCATGTATATCCAGCTGTTCATCAAACTCAAGTTTTGCTATTCCCTCGAAGCATTTCTTCAGATGAGGCTGTACTCTTGTTGGGTCCTTCGTCTCAGATAAAATCTCCAACATTTCATCATTTGACAAGAAAAAGAATCTGAAACAAAAATTTATGCAAAAAACAAACTGGTTTTTTTAATTCTTCAGATGAAAACAATAATATTTTTCATTATTATACAGTTTGTATGTAAATAGGAAGCACGTGTGTATGTACTATGATGCTGCAGTTACCACCCACCTAGAGGAGCAGCTGCAATGGAGCCTTGAATCTGTCTATACGATGAAGTAGTCAGTCTCCCACAAACCTTCCTTAGCCAACTGTTATGATATGCATGGTAGGTTATAATTTTTTATTCTTTGCTTCCCTGATACATATATTCCTACCAACTCATTTATCTATATTAACCTAAAAATTAAGATACTACACTTGCCGCATATTGGAAAGTCATGGGATCGCTCCCTGGTGGAGCTAGACTTTTTTAAAAAAAGACCTAGCCTTGAGTAGGTACCGGGTGCAGTCCCGGGAAGTAAAGAGGGCCAGCTTGATGCTGACCACATCACCCATCTTGGGCTGATTGGTCTATAAAATATAGGTCTAGCCCTATATGCCCTATACGCATAAAGGCGTGGCAAAGGGACCTTTACTCTGACTTTATTAAGATACTAGAAATAAACAAATTTATTCACCTTGGAAAGAAGAGTCGTTTCTTTTCAAGATAAGCATTAAGTCCCTTGTTGATTTTATCCAGGAGGACATTGCTGTCTTGTAGCTTCTCTAACAGTCCTGCCATGTTGCATGCAACCAAAACCTTGAACAAATACATCAGACAAAAGAAAAAAAGTTGAAAATAAATAATTTCACAAAGTTGTACAGTAGCAGCTGGAAAAAAAGAAAAAGAAAGAACCTTTGATGGTGGTAAGGGTGATGAAAATAAGGAATTTTGATGATAATGAAGATGGTGATTATGATGATAAGGGCTTTGATGATGATGAAAATGATGATGACTATCATGATGATGATGATGACGATGATGATGATGAAGATGATGGTGGTGGTGGCTTTGATGATGATGATGATGATGATGATGATGATAATGATGATGATGATGATGATGATGATGATGATGGTGATGATGATGATGAAGAAGATGATGGTGGTGGCTTTGATGTTGATGATAATCGTGGTGATGATGATGTCAATGCTGATGGTTGTTTTGATGATGGTGATCTTTCTGATGATGATAAAAGTAGTGGTGATAAGGATTTTCTATGGCAATAATGATGGTGATTAAGATGAATGTGGTTGTTTTGATGGTTGATGATGATGATAAAAGTAGCGGTGATAAGGATTTTCTATGACAATAATGATGGTGATTAAGATGATGGCAGTAATTTTGAGGGTGATGATGATAAAAGTAGCGGTGACAAGGATTTTCTATGAGAATAATGATGGTGATTAGGATGATGGCGGTGGTTTTGATGGTTGATGATGATGATAAAAGGACGGTTTATGATTATGATGACAATGTCAATCGTGGTGATCTGTGATGAAAAGATGGCATTGATGACATCATGATACAGGTAGTGACAATATCAATCACTGACCCACCAAAAAAAATGATGACATTAATGATGATGAAGGGAGCCGCTGAGGTGTAGCAGCTGAACGCTAGCCTGCGGATTGGAAATTGGGGGGGGGGGGGGGATTTATGCCTGAGGTTTTAAGGCTGCAAGGCTAGTGCTGTCGTCACAGACTGTGCAAAGGTACTGGTAACAATAACTAAAACAAGTGTGTACCATTTCACAGGTTGGCCGCAGTGCACCTATTGTCTTTTGGAATATTATGCGGTCAGGCCCCAATCTCTTCTTTGGTGCAACTCTCAAACTATCATCTAAAAACCGTGAGAAGTTTTTTTTTCTTTTTAATAACAAAGCACCCACTATAATGATAACGGTGAGAAGTTTTTGACAATAATTATTATGATGATCACCAAGGATGATGAAGATGATGATGTAAAAATATAACAGTGGATATTGTGCTAATGTTAAAGGCAAGGTCAAAAGTAATATATAGACATTTTGCTATCATTGATGGCAACAGCAATGATAACAATAGTGGACATTATGCAGACATTAGCGGCGGAGATTATTCATGGAAAGATCTAAAACCAAACAAAAAAAGTAGATCAGCAAGCTTCACAATATAACAAACAAAATGAAAAGTGAACACTGCAGCTACAGAGCCTTCATCAGCACATACATAAACAAAACCAGATGAATACACAACATCACTTAACCGACATTTCCCAAAGCAGCCACTTGGGCTCAGGCCTCTGGTCCGTGATGATCACCAGTTTAAAAATTGTGGTCCCTTAGTTGAATAGCCCTGTCCTGTGAGATCTTATGGGAGAGCGAAAGAGTTAAGGGTTAAGGCAGAAGGAGAAGACCAAACATCAGACAAAGTTTCCAGACATCTTACCCTTGAATCCTTGGCAGTGTTCTTCATAACATCCCTCCAGTTCCTATCCACCATCTGAAACAGCCGACCTTCCTCTGGCATCTGCTGCATGATATCTTCGGAGGAAAATATCGGCTCCAGATACAACCACTGGGCTTGGACTTTCAGCCACTCATCGATACACTCCTGGGTGTGCATCAACTTCTCCTCCCACTCCTAGGTGAATATATGCATTTGTCATTAGTACAAGTATTTGTCCTTTCAGCCGGTTGGTGGCCTAGTGTTTGAGTTTTGTTAGTATAGTGATAAAAGGAGAACAATTAAATTATCTGTCCATAAAATCTGACTGCCTTTAAGTATGCCCATTTACTTGTCTTAGTGTCTTGTTTATCTTTGAGGATATCGTGAACAAATCAAGCCAACCAAGAACTACTAGTCAGCTTCCCAGCAAAGCACAATCATAAAAGACAAAATGAACACTGCGGCTAAGAAGCATTCATCAGCGTACACAAACACAGACAATGATACAACCAGGGCTTTATTCTAAAAAGACCAAGGCAATCAACTTCATTCCTTCAGGTTTTATCCCATATGACTCGGTCTCTCTTCTTACTGTCTGCCGAGGGCATCACACAAAATGTAAACTCCACTAACCCGGCAACAATCCCCAATGTTCTTCCTAAAAACTGCTCTTGTGGACCAAATGATATAGATGTGAAATCAACTTATGATCTTCAGAGCATGAGGCAAATGGCTTGGCCACTTCCCCAGAGAGACCCCCATTTAAAAAAAATGTGTAAATATATATTTTTTTTTAAAGAAATAAAGGTGCCAGTACTCACCACAAAGTGTCTATTAGAGTAGCACTGGCGGGGAAAAGGGGGGTGGGGGAAGCTATGCCTAAAAAAAAAAAGGTACCATTGCATACCATCAGGTAAAAAGCCCACAGTACGACTACACTAAAGGCTGCATACCATCAGATTAAAAAGCCCACAGTACGACTACACTAAAGGCTGCATACCTTTAGATAAAAAGCCCCAGTACAACTACACTAAAGGCTACATACCATCAGATTAAAAAGCCCACAGTACGACTACACTAAAGGCTGCATACCTTTAGATAAAAAGCCCCAGTACAACTACATTAAAGGCTGCAAACCAACAGATAAAAAGCCCACAGTACAACTACATTAAAGGCTGCATATAACAATGACTTAGCTCAGGGGGCCATTGATGGTAAAGATTATCCATTATTTAACTTACTTTGATCTCTTTCTCAAAAGGTTTGATGAATGGAGACCCTCTCATAGTCTGAGTCTTGACAATCTGATCATCCAAAGTTGTCTGAATGTCATCCACTGAAGCTAGAATGCTGACTCCTGTATCTCTGTACTGTTAGAATATAACATTTAAAACAGTTACTTTCCAGAAAGCTGACTCCTGTATCTCTGTGCTGTTAGAATATAACATTTAAAACAGTTACTTTCCAGAATGCTGACTCCTGTATCTCTGTACTGTTAGAATATAACATTTAAAACAGTTACTTTCCAGAAGTCGGCTCTGTGGCTAAGTCGATGCGAACGCTTCACAATGCCCGGATGCCGGGTTTGATCCCAGCTGCGGGCCATGCGCGTTGCATTGGTTTCAACAGTCGTATCAAAAAAGCTGACTGTCCAGAAAGCAATGGCAAACTACTGGATGTAAATTTGCCTAGAAAAACCACACAACAGCCAGGGGTTGTTGGGGTTGGTTCTGCAATGTCCTGTAAAGGATACGCAACTAACCTAACTTTCCAGAATGCTGACTCTTGTATTTCTGTACTGTTAGAATTTAACATTTAAAACTGTTACTTTCCAGAATGCTGACTCTTGTATTTCTTTACTGTTGGAATATAACATTTAAAACAGTTACTTTCCAGAAAGCTGACTCCTGTATCAATCTGTACTGTGGGGTTATAATATGTAAAATAGTTACTGTCCAAAATGCACAGTCATGTATCTCTCTATCCTGTAAGAATATAACATGTAAAATAGTTACTTTCCAGAATGCATAATCGTGTATCCCTTTGTACTGTGAGAATACAATATGTAAAATAGTTACTTTCCAGAATGCACAGTCGTGTATCCCTTTGTACTGTGAGAATACAATATGTAAAATAGTTACTTTCCAGAATGCATAATCGTGTATCCCTTTGTACTGTGAGAATACAATATGTAAAATAGTTACTGTTCAAAATGCACAGTCATGTATCTCTCTATACTGTAAGAATATAACATGTAAAACAGTGACTTTCCAGAATGCACAGTCGTGTATCCCTTTGTACTGTGAGAATACAATATGTAAAATAGTTACTTTCCAGAATGCACAGTCGTGTATCCCTTTGTACTGTGAGAATACAATATGTAAAATAGTTACTGTCCAAAATGCACAGTCATGTATCTCTCTATACTGTAAGAATATAACATGTAAAACAGTGACTTTCCAGAATGCACAGTCGTGTATCCCTTTGTACTGTGAGAATACAATATGTATCATAGTGACTTTCCAGAACACTGACTCGTGTACTCCTGAACTGTTAAATATATCTTCTTATTCTTCTCTTCATCCAATTACCTAATCAAAGTGATGTGGTAAGCTGTATGGTTCCTCTAAATGCCCTTTCCAATGTGTTTATAAGTTGATTTACATATCTTTACAGTTTTTCACGATACCATTGTTCCATCTCTTCCATGGACTTCCCCTGTTAACTCCTCGCAGCGCCATTCTCCTCTCTAATGATCTATCTGTGCTTCGGCACTGTTCACTTGCTGCCAAAGTGTCCTCACAACATCCAGCTTGTCATACATCAATTCACCCCCAAGTGGTGCAGAACTGGCGAAGGTGGGGGTTGCATTATTTCTTCGTCTTCTTCTTTTGTTTGCTTGAAATAGATTATCTGTATCTGCAATGTTGTCTCTAGTTTAAACTTCACTGTCTTTTGTAATTCATTCAGCGACCCATACAGTTTGGCTTGCACCGATGTTTCTCGTGGCCAAAAGTTTGGCCTTGATATGTTGTATTTGGGGACAGTCTTGGAGGACATGATCTGTTGTCTCAGGTGCCAATCCACATGTGCACATGTCTGATTCGCCAATTTTAAATTTTGTTTACATGTGGCTGTGAAGTTGATTGTGTCCTGTTCTAAGGAGTAGAATAATAACTTGCTCTGGTCTGTTCATAAAATGGTAATCGTCTGGTGTCGATTTTGGTGGCTTTCTGCTTGATTTAATTATTCTCTTCTTTACTTGATCAGAGACTGGTACATCCGGTTGTTTTTCATTTGCACCTTCCTTAGCCAGTTTATAAAAATTATTTATGAAACACATAGATAAGAAAACTGGGTAGAGAAAGGGAGAATTTCAGGCGTGTTGTGATTAGAGTGGCATTCTGTAAAGGACCTGATACTTGATAATGATGACGGTTATATTACCTGAAAGTGAAGTTTATACCATAGATCAGTGTTTGCCAAACTTTTCTTAGTCGCGGTGCCTTTTTTCAACTAAAATTTTTCCATGTCGCCCTGACTTAAGTAAAAATCTGACTACACGTATGTAAGAGATAAAAAAAAATAATAATAAAACTCGTGTATCTTCAAATAATTTTGCTGCGCCCCTGTGAAGAGGTCGTGGCTCTCCAGGGCATTGCTTTGCACAGTTTTGGAATCACTGCCATACATTATTTTACATGATTCAAAGTAACATTTCAAGCACTATATTATCTTACCTGAATCAAAGTGAATGTTATTAACTCCCATTCCTCCATCATCTTGTTGTGTGCTTTCTCCAGAGAGAATTCCTAAGTAATTTTAAAAAAAAAGAAATTCAAGAAATGTAACTCCAAAAAATAATGATATTTTCTCCCTTTGCTTACACATGTAGCCACTTCATATTTTAAGCATTCTTTTTCAATTTGTGATGTTTTTATCTAATTTTTAAGGAAGAAAAAAAAAAACCTGAAACAGACACATTATTTCACCAAGGAGAAAGCTGGAATACACAAATCACAGTAGTATAATTTGAAGAAATATGGCATTGGGCCAACTATAAAGTGCAGAAACCTGGACAGTAAGATGAATAACAAAAAGATGAACTGAGGCAGGCAAAGAAATAATTCACATTTCATTGAGATAAAAAAAAATCATCAAATTCCAAGGTTCTGGCGAGACTGGGAGTGAAAAGATAATTGTTGAAAGAAATAAACAGGTGAGGAGTGAAATATTCTGTCCACAGTAAATGACATAACAGTCTCATAAACACCACATTTATATAGATATTTCTCCATGATCTGGTACAAAATTGACCATCTTCTCAAGAACATGTTAACATGCTTTGAAAAAAAGTAGTCCCAAATATCAACCAGGTGCTCTCTCTCTCTCTCTCTCTTACTCTTTCTGTCCCCAAAAATGCACCATGTGTGATTAGGTACTGTTTATGTGTACCGATCAATACGTTATGTATGTACGAAGCCATCTCATAACACTCCCACAACACAGGATAGGCTGCACGACCAGGTTGGCTGCAGTGGATCTACAGCACGATGTTTATCTACCTCTTAATTTTATCGTTCCACCTGTTTCACTGTCTACCACGTGCTCACAAACTTTTAATGTTTCTCTTCAGTGTGGCTTTTATAAGAGTGTTGTATCTTTTCAGTCCTTTTTTTTGTTTTTGTTAAATCTCTTTTCATTCTAAATTTCAGAATCTATAGGTGATTGCGTTTGTTTCCATGAACTATGACCATTCTTGTGTAAATCCACACCTCCAGAGAAACAATTTGACTTTGTAATTTCTTGTTCATTATCTGGGTTTCTGAATCATGAAGTAGTGTTGAGTTTATACACAATGGCCCAATTAAATGCATGCTGAAAATGAATATACACTTGGCTGCAAGACACAAAACACAGCGCAAGGCAAACTTGAAATATGAAGAGGGTTCCCAGAAAGATTTGAAGCAACACATTCATGCATTACACCTTATCAAAAGCATGTAGAAGGTCCTTTGCAGAACACTGCTCTCATCATGGTCTGCCTGAAAGAAACTTGGTCTTTTGACAGCTCTCCCATCTCATGCACTTTCATATTCAAGGAGTCACTTACACCCGATGCCTGATGTTGGGAGGCCTTCCTTCCGAATATCATGCCTTCCACTAATTTGTGTGTGTGTGTTTTTTTAATCCACTGTGGCGCTTAACTCTATGAGTCCCAGGGGGGTTTAGCATCACAGGCCCAAGGGGTAGACAAGAAAGATGTAAAATAGGCCCATCTTGCGTTCATTGGGCTTCTAGGTAGGAATCTATGAACGTATAACACGTTCCTTGGGACTCAGAGAGTTAAAATGGCCAAAAAGTTTCAGCTTCTGAGGCAAGATGCTGTTTATTAGTCAATCTTCCCTGATGTTCAGATCTTTTAGAATGTCAGCATTTCTTCTCTTCTTTGTCCTTAGTATTCTGAGAATCTTTCTATAGCATTTCAGCTCAGAAGCCCCTATTTTCTTCAATAAGGACTGGGAGATAGTCCACGACTCACATATGTTTGTTGCTACAGGAAAGATGCATGCTCTCAAAATTTTTGCTTTGATTTACTTGTTGGTGCTTAGCCATGGACTTTTAATGCTTTTAAATACTGTTTTAGACCTACCATCCAAAATGCATGGCGTGCAACTCTACACGATGGCGCAGCTACATGTGAAGCAAACAGAACAGCAAGACTGATTAGGATAAGGATGGTCAGAAAGGCGACTGCGGGAGATCCCCTCCCTGGCACAACACTCATTCCCTATCCTCACTATCCAAGAACTTTTTGGGCCCGCATCAACCTCATCAGTCATCTTCGTACTCGTAGTTGATGAAAAAGAGTGGTCATCATCATCTTGATGGACAACACACACACCTACCATACAGAAATACACAAGAGGGATAAGAAAATATTTTCATTCACTACTTCACTTCTGATCCTGCTACTGTAACATACCTTGGAGGCAGATGCTGAAACTGCTTCAAACTGCTCCAGATATGGTTCTAGGTTGAGCTTTAGCATCTTACGGAGGGTTGTTCCAGCGTCAGGAGTCAGCTTGATGCCTGCAATTTGCTCCATTTTCTCCCAGTGCCTCTTTCGGATTCCAGGGTTGCACATAATAGTAATCACAGGAATCACTTCCTATAGAAACACAAACAAATTAAACCAATTACAGAAATGTAATTAAACCATAAGCAACAAGAGTGAGTTGAGTCAAGAATTGACATCAAAGAACTCAGGGCATTCCCATGCATGCTCTGTCATCATCTTCAGCAGCCAGGCAGAGTTCTAATACTGATGGTACTGGTCACAATCTGGTTAAAAGTCAGTCTTGCCTTTCCTCTGAGTGTAGTGAGCCGGCCAGACCCTCTGGTTACTCCCAGGTGCCTTATTCTCTCCAGGCCATAATAATCTTGTTTCCCTACTGATTCCGTAGAGCAACATAAAGCAACTGAACCGTAAGCAAGAAGAAGAAAATCTGTTTCTCAAACCAAATAACAGATTCTTTCTCTACTGATTCCGTGGGGCAACATAAAGCAACTGAACCGTAAGCAAGAAGAAGAAAATCTGTTTCTCAAACCAAATAACAGATTCTTTCTCTACTGATTCCGTGGGGCAACATAAAGCAACTGAACCGTAAGCAAGAAGAAGAAAATCTGTTTCTCAAACCAAATAACAGATTCTGTCTCTACATCTGTATGCTGCCACATAAAAGATGCACGTATCAATATTTTTCCTTTAGAGATTGTGAAATGAGGGATGATTTAAATTTGCATTTTGTGGCAGAAGCTTCCCAGTGTGGGTTGCAGGACCCCACTTGGGGAAGGGAGAGGAATAGATCCCCTGCCCCACTAAGGGAAGGGAGAGGAATAGATCCCCTGCCCCACTAAGGGAAGGGAGAGGAATAGATCCCCTGCCCCACTAAGGGAAGGGAGAGGAATAGATCCCCTGCCCCACTAAGGGAAGGGAGAGGAATAGATCCCCTGCCCCACTAAGGGAGGGAGAGGAATAGATCCCCTGCCCCACTAAGGGAAGGGAGAGGAATAGATCCCCTGCCCCACTAAGGGAAGGGAGAGGAATAGATCCCCTGCCCCACTAAGGGAAGGGAGAGGAATAGATCCCCTGCCCCACTAAGGGAAGGGAGAGGAATAGATCCCCTGCCCCACTAAGGGAAGGGAGAGGAATAGATCCCCTGCCCCACTTGGGGAAGGGAGAGGAATAGATCCCCTGCCCCACTAAGGGAAGGGAGAGGAATAGATCCCCTGCCCCACTAAGGGAAGGGAGAGGAATAGATCCCCTGCCCCACTAAGGGAAGGGAGAGGAATAGATCCCCTGCCCCACTAAGGGAAGGGAGAGGAATAGATCCCCTGCCCCACTAAGGGAAGGGAGAGGAATAGATCCCCTGCCCCACTTGGGGAAGGGAGAGGAATAGCTCCCCTGCCCCACTTGGGGAAGGGAGAGGAATAGATCCCCTGCCCCACTAAGGGAAGGGAGAGGAATAGATCCCCTGCCCCACTAAGGGAAGGGAGAGGAATAGATCCCCTGCCCCACTAAGGGAAGGGAGAGGAATAGATCCCCTGCCCCACTTGGGGAAGGGAGAGGAATAGCTCCCCTGCCCCACTTGGGGAAGGGAGAGGAATAGATCCCCTGCCCCACTAAGGGAAGGGAGAGGAATAGATCCCCTGCCCCACTAAGGGAAGGGAGAGGAATAGATCCCCTGCCCCACTAAGGGAAGGGAGAGGAATAGCTCCCCTGCCCCACTTGGGGAAGGGAGAGGAATAGCTCCCCTGCCCCACTTGGGAAAGGGAGAGGAATAGATCCCCTGCCCCACTTGGGGAAGGGAGAGGAATAGATCCCCCGCCCCACTAAGGGATGGGAGAGGAATAGATCCCCTGCCCCACTAACAAGCAAGTGGTACAAGGCAACTAATTAGCAGTGTTTCTTTCAAAGTCACAGTGCATCTACCTCACAGGCTAGGAACCAACAGTTTGCATACAAATAGGCCAGATTTGTAAAATGCATATGCACATAAAACTCAAGTTCTGGAACATGTCTAGAAATGGAACTGTTAGCCCAAGTTTACAGCTGGTGAAAGTGAAGAAGAAGAAAAAGCCACAGAAAAGAATGCATATTTTCAATATTTTTATTTCTTTAATTACTGCGAAATGAGCCAAGATTCAAATCTTTGTGTTGCCACAGACACTTCCCTGTGTCAGTTGGGAGCTCCATTTTGGAACAACAACAACAAACAAACAATATAATATACAAGAAGAAGAAGCCACATAAAAGTTGCATGTTTTTAGCATTTCTCTTTCTTGTGACATGGTCCATGACTAACCTCCATAAGTTTCACAAATAAGAATGAATCAACATTTTTTTTTATTTTGATTATTTTGTGTATGAAACAAAACTATTAGAGCCCAATCTTGGCTTCCCTGACCTTGAATGTCTTGATGTCTTCAATTGTTGCATTGATGATATTCACAGCCTCTGGTATCTTTAGTGTATCATCCTCCTCTGAGCCTTGAGGAGCAGCTTCTTCCTCCTCAACCTGTCGTCTTTTCTTTTTCTTTTCCCTCTCCATTTCCTCCCTTTCCATCTGCATTTTCTTTACTTTGAGATTGAAGATTTTCTGAATTTTGAAGAGTTCTCTGGTGAAGGAAATTAAATAGAAGTGGTCAAAAATCAGTATTTAAACAAAATAAAACTATAAAATATAAGTACATGACTTTTTTCCACGTCTTCAGTCACATTGAGCACTTAGAACTAGGTCTATATTTTATAGACCAGTTGGCACTTGGTGGGTGAAGTGGTTAGCACTCCGCCAGCCGCTCTGCTTTCCCAGGACTTTACCTGGTACCCATTTAAGGCTGGGTCGACTTAGGAGCCAAGGACATTTTTTTTATAAAAGGTCTGGCTCTGCCAGGAGCTGAACACATAACCTTCAAATCTACAGGTGAGTGTCTAGCCACCCCACCATAGCAGCTGACAAACTGAAACTAGAATTCCTATCAATACACATTCATGAATCTAAAAACATCAACAAATAGAAATATTAAAGAATCAGTTTCTACACCTTTCTGATATATTAAAGGCGTGATTTTAGGCTTACAATCTGATAAAAATGGGTGAGTGGACAATATTATTCATCTTACATCCTAGACAATTTTACTGCCCACCTATGTGCCAAACATGACCATAGAATAACACACAATATGTTGAAATAAAGATACTATAAATGTTACTTTATATAAGATTATGGATAATTGACAAATCAAACCAGAATGCCTCGTACTGAAAATGACAACTTAGTCAAAACAGTTTTTAATTGTTAAATTATTTTAAAAAAAAAATAATAAATAAAACAACAAATGAATGTTGAATTAGGAATTGACATCACAGCACTTGGGACATTACCATAAGTGCTCCATCCCCATCTTCAGCAGCAAGTGCAGGATTCCAATTCTAATGGCACCAGTAACAGTTTGTATATCCATTTTACCTTTCCCCTAAGTATTGAACATCAGCCCCATACCCTGGTCCCTCCTCTCAGCACCATTCTCCTCAGACCGTGATTATCTATTTGTGTGCCTCCCCACTATTCACTCACTTCCAAAGGACCCTTACAACAACTAATATTCTAATTGTCACGCTATAATTAACCATCAAGTGGTGCAGAACCAGCTAGTCTATCTGCCTGTTTATTTCCAAACACATCAGTATATCCTGGAGAAAATATCCAAATGACTTTTCAGAAACCTTTCAGCAATTTATTTAGTCTGCACATTTATAGGCTATCATGAAAAATATGCATGTATTGATTCAGCTTGTTATGCCATATTAACTCTTTGAGTCCCAGGGGGTTTAGCATCACAGGCTCAATGGGTAGTAAAGAGAGACTAAAATCGACACATTATGAGTTCATTGGGCTTCTAGGTAAGAACCTATGAACTTATGATGCATTCCCTGGGACTCAAAGAGTTAAGAATAAAGATTGTTGATCTGTTTCTTTAAGTTGAATTGAAAAAAAAAAGGTAAGAAAGTTGTTGGGTGGATTCTGATTCAGATTAGAGGAAAAACAATACAAGGCCAGTCTGCTTTACGATTTTGCTGTAGGCCATTTGTTGTTGTTTAAAATACCTGTAATATTCATCTACTTCTGCCTCAATGACTTCAGCATTTTGTTCCAAAAAGGCTCCATCCATTGTCCTGAAATGATGGAAGCGTTATATATACATATGACAGGAGCGCATGGAACAAGCAAAGTGATCATATACCTACATCTGTAATGTTTTATTCAGAGCCTTGTGGTGAAGTACTTACTTCACATCACAGGAAGACGACAAGGCTCAAGTCTTCACACAATCATTTAGCACCATGTAATAATGCACTGTAATAAACAAGTTCCAGTGGACCAATAGGTGAAGAAAAGATGCAGGTGTTGGAAAGGACACACTGAGAAAACCTGAGAACAAAATGACTAGACTGTCTTTGCACTGGAATCCACAGGGGTACAGAAATAAAGGCAGAACAAAAAAGACAAGGAGAAAGGAGCTAGAGAGTGAAGTATGACAGACTGAGGGGTGGGGGGGGGTGGGGACATGGGGTGAGCTGCTTGCAGTAGCGAAGGACAGAACGACTTGGCGTGAGCTAATTGAGGGCTTATGCTCCACAGGGGGATAGAAGACAGAAGAAGAACAAGAAGAAGAATTAACTAGATATTTTTTTAAATATCCAGAAGCCATAATAACCCTTTGGCTGGTACTATGGATATCACAACCCATCAGCTTTGAAATCCATGCTAGATACTGTAAATCTGGGAAATGTGTGGCTCTTCTGCCTACCCCCAGGCCTGAACGCAGACAAAAAGGTGTTCGTTACCCGGTCGCCGCGCAGTCAGGTTTAACCAACTGAGCTAGTAGTCCAAAACAATGCATGATATGTTACTGACTGTTCTCCATATGTCTCAAACATCATCGTCTTCTTATGTTTAAGTTTTGGTCAGTGTATATAAAATACATCTAGCAACCACACAGATAAATGTCATTCATTATTCGTTTCTACAACACAGTAAGTGGTTAGAATTGTCGTGGCAATATTTAATGACTACAATAATGATTGTTTATTTTTTTTTACACAACTGATAGGACAGAAAGAGTTAAGTAACTGAGAATCATCATCAGTTTTCGTTACGCCTAGTGGCACAAGAGGCTTTTGAGAGGACTTTCCATGCTTTCCTGTCCTGTGCAATCTTCAGTGCAGTTTTCTATGTCAGAGATGCTGCACTCAGTTCACTTTCCATCATTCGTCTCCATGTTGTTTTTGGGTGCCCCTTCTTTCTCTTTCCCTCTGGCGTCCAAGTGAGAGCTGTTTTGTCAGGTATTTCAGGATTTATTCTCATGACATGGCCAAGCCATTCATGTGACTGAGAAGAATCATACTGAATACTTGTGATGCAACAGCGGTCCTGAAATCGCATGCTCCAGTTGTGGAAGAATTTTCTTAATGTGGGCGGGTCTTGCTAGTTACACTCGCCATTACTACTGTGATTCCGTGCTTACCAATAGCATACTATAACACTGTTGTCTGGAAAGATGGAATGATGCCAACCAAATCTAGACTTATGTGACATATATCCTCTCTCAGTCTATCTCATTCTCTCCTTCTGTATGTCTTTCTCTGTCAGTGTCTTTGTGTGCCTCTCGCTGGTTGTCACTCTCTTTCTCTTTGATTCTATATCTCTCTGTTTTGATCTGTTTATCTCTCTGCTGTCCATTTGTCATCTGACATGTCTATGTGTGTGCCTGTTTGTCTGTGCATGTGTCTGATTCTATGTGTGTGCCTATTTTTCTGTGCATGTGTCTGATTATATATGTGTGTGTTTGTTTGTGTGTGTGTGTGTGTGTCTGATTGTATGTGTGTGTGTGTTTGTCTGTGCATGTGTCTAATTGTATGTGTGTTTGTTTGTGTGTGTGTGTGTGTCTGTTTGTCTGTATGTTTATATGTATGTGTGTCTGCCCCCCCCCCTCTCTCTCTCTCTCTCTCTCTCTCTCTCTCTCTCTCTCTCTCTCTCTCTCTCTCTCTCTCTCTCTCTCTCTCTCTCTCTCTCTCTCTCTCTCTGCTGTAAAACTGAATCATATGAAACTTACTTTTTCTCTGCCCTCTGCCACTTGGATACGACAGTGAAGAGACGGAAATATGGATCTAGTGTTGCAGTGATTTCATCCAACTCTGGATATGTGGATACTGGATACTTGTACAACTGCTCTTCTTTGTTGATCCAGGCTATCTGTAAAATAATAATTTATCTCATTGATTGATTGACTGATTTTTGGCACCTTTCTGTCTTTCCGGACGATAGTGTTATATTGCACTATGAGGAGGCATGAGACTCACAGCCTATGGCGATGGCGAGTGTGACTAGCAAGACCCGCCCGTGTCAAGAAAAGTCTTCCACAATGATAGCATGGTGTTTCAGGACCATTTTTGTCAACATTTGTGTGTAATCCATTTCTTTTCAGACGCTCAGCTCTCATCCTTTCTGCAATCATTTCTTCCTTTACTCTCATTCCCTTCCTGATGTGCCCTTTCCACACAACACCGTCCATGGCATTTTGTTCCCATGAGTCCACCTCAATACCTGTATCATCCATGCCCTGCTTGCACACATCTGAGTAGAGGTCGGCCTCGACATCTTCTTCCTGCCTTTAATTACCATAAAGGATGTCCTTAGGGACTGCCATCCTCCATTCTCCAGGTATGACCCAGCCACCTGAGCCTTCGTAGACTGAGCATGGAAAAGACTGTTGTAGTAAATTCTCTCATTATAATATTATATATATATATACACACACACATATATATATATATATGTTTTTTAATAATTTTTACAAAAAAATTTTTGTTTTGTTTTTTGGGACAAAAAGGTTTACCAAAAAAAAAATTTTATATTCATTCTAGAATGGTAGGGATACATGAACGTGCTCTGCTCTATTTTAATTACTAACAAAAGAAAACTCACCTGTTCGTTAAGTTCTGCAATCCGGCGCTGGACAGCTCGCACATCCTGAACATACTGCTGCATCATGTCCATCTCTCCATAGTCACTGAACTCCTCGACCCGATGCCGAAGCTTCTGTAGCTCAGCAATGACTTTCTCTCTCCTGTGTAATAACTCCTGCTCTCCTTTCTGTCTTGACTGATCAACCAACTAAACAGAAAGTAGACATAAAATAAAGGACCTTTTTTTAAACATCATAAGAAGCAGACATAAAATAAAGGTTGATTTTTGCACATCATAGGGCCAGTCAGAATAGTGTGCAGACCCCTATATTAATAGAGTAATTGGCATTTTTATGTATGATTTAAACAGAATATTTTTTTTAAAGGGGAAAAAAAGAAAAGAAAAGAAAAACATCTTCTGAGAAAATTTCTGGTTTTTTGTCTATTTCTGGATTTCAGTCTTGTTCTAGAACTTGAGTTTTGCATGCACATCCATTTTACAGACCGGATTTATGTGTATGCAGACTGTTGGTTCCTCACCTCTCAGGCAGATAGATGCACTCCGAATTCAAATGAAACTCCCTTAATTAGTTGCCTTGTATAGCTTGTTTGTTAGGGAAGCAGTGGGTCTATTTCCCCTTGCCCCCCTCCCCCTTCCCCTACAGAATGGGTCACAGAACCAACATGGGAACAAGAATGTAATATTTTGTTTTTTTTTATTGATCACAGACGATGTGTGTGTGTGTGTGTGTGTGTGCGTGTGTGCGTGCGTGCGTGCGGGCGGGCGGGCGGGTGCGTGCGTGCGTGCGTGCGTTTTTTTTTTTTTTTTATATGTATGACATCTACAGAGAAGTATAGGCCAGCAACCATGCACTGTTTTCCTCTCTGTCCAGGTCACTCTCAATATCTGTCCCATCAACTTTTCCTCTCCGTCCAGGATACTCTCAATATTTGTCCCATCAACTTTTCCTCTCTGTCCAGGAAATTCTCAATTTCTGTCCCATCAACTTTTCCTCTCTGTCCAGGAAACTCTCAATTTCTGTCCCATCAACTTTTCCTCTCTGTCCAGGATACTCTCAATATCTGTCCCATTAACTTTTCCTCTCTGTCCAGGAAACTCTCAATTTCTGTCCCATCAACTTTTCCTCTCTGTCCAGGAAACTCTCAATTTCTGTCCCATCAACTTTTCCTCTCTGTCCAGGAAACTCTCAATTTCTGTCCCATCAACTTTTCCTCTCTGTCCAGGATACTCTCAATATCTGTCCCATCAACTTTTCCTCTCTGTCCAGGAAACTCTCAATTTCTGTCCCATCAACTTTTTCTCTCTGTCCAGAATACCCTCAATATTTGCCTCCACAAAAACTTTTCCGTTCTATCCATGATCAATTTTTTTCTCCACACCACTTCTCTAGTTTTCAGCCACTCATGCCGCTCTTTGTCCAGTGTCAGGACCCATTTAGAGGTTGAGGGTCAAGTCGCAGAAATGACATTGAAGAGGGCAGTGTACCTGAAATCAGCAGGTAATAAACAAGATGCAAATGTCTGTCATTTTTGGAAGAAACAGAGAGGAATATGGACATGACTTGGTTAGGTCCCATCATATTTAATATAGTGGATATAATCCAACTGTTAGATCATCATTATGTGCCTTGCCGATTGGTGTAGGCATTCATGCTTCTCCACAGATCTCAGTCCCTTGTCCTCTGGATCAGTTCCACCAATGATATCCCTCCCAGCCACCGTCATAATCCATCATCATCTCTTTCACTTGCCTCTTCCCCTTCTACCGTTGATCTTCCCATTCATCACAATATTCTCCAAAGCCTCCCCACCTCATCACATGACTAAAGAACAGTGCTTGTCTTTTCTTTATAGCTGTGTATATTGATCTGCTTCCATTAGCTTCTTTCAAGCAATCCTCATTAGTTACTCTGAGAGTCCAGGATATATTGATCTGCTTTCACTGACTTCTTTCAAGCAATCCTCATTAGTTACTCTGTCAGTCCAGGATATACTGATCTGCTTTCACTGACTTCTTTCAAGCAATCCTCATTAGTTACTCTGTCAGTCCAGGATATACTGATCTGCTTTCACTGACTTCTTTCAAGCAATCCTCATTAGTTACTCTGTCAGTCCAGGATATACTGATCTGCTTTCACTGACTTCTTTCAAGCAATCCTCATTAGTTACTCTGGCAGTCCAGGATATATTGATCTGCTTTCACTGACTTCTTTCAAGCAATCCTTGTTAGTTACTCTGATAGTCCAAGGGATTCTTCACATTCATCCGAGAAACGACATCTCCATTGCCTCCAAGTTTTTTCTAATTTAGCTATCAGATAGCATGAATTATTACAGAAAGTCAGATCAACCACATCTCCATTGCCTCCACATTTTTTATAATTTAGCTATCAGATAGCATGAATTATTACAGAAAGTCAAAGCAACCACATCTCCATTGGCTCCAAGTTTTTGTTTCTAATTTAGCTGTTTTAAAATTTATATTAATGTAGTGACGGTAGTATATAAAGTAAACACAATGACTGAGAGTTTGTTACTTCATTGTGTGAATTGTGAAAATTTGTGAGAGAAAGTTTGTTGTAGTTTCTGTCTGATTGTGAAGTGCAGAGTTAATATGGTTTGAGTGCTCCAGTAGTGAAGAATACACAGCACTATTAAAAGTTAGTAATCATCAAGATCAGCAAATAAGTACGTAAATTCCCCCCCCCCCCCCTCTTCCCTTCCAAGGACATCACACAGAGCGATAAACACCTGGTGACACAAAGTGCAACCTTTCGGATGAGGATCACCCAGAAACTGCTGTTTTAATAATAAAAAGATCAGGGAGTCTAAGAGAGGGAGCATGCTCCAGCTAAATAGAGTATCTGTGACAGGGCAAGTCTAATGGCTTTTTACACAGTTTGCGGCTACATGCCTTCATGCACCCTAACAACCAGGATTGGTATCCCTACATGAGAATAAGTCATGCCCAATTTTTCAGTCATCAAGAGCCTTGCCACCTAGCATAGGTGATCATACTAAACCACATCTCACAATCTCCAACATGAGGCATCATTTCAGGAGCTGACACATTTCCAGTGTCTGACAAAATTAGGTCAAGAAACGACTATTATTCCATTATCTCTTTTCCAGAATGCCAAAATGTTTCAATTTTCTATGCTAATTATGTGGTCAGTTTTTTTTTTCTGGCTGAAGAAAATACAGCTTTAATCAGATTTTACAAATTTTTAATTTTTTTTTTTTTTGCATTGACCCTAAAGAGGACTATGCCGCCTTGTGGTGTAAAGTTAAGCTGTAATATCTGCAACTTTTTACCTTATATATAGGATGTCAGGAAACCCTTAATTAAGTTGGTTCATTCTCCCCCACCTCCAAATAGGGCCCCAGAACACATCAAATTTTTCAATCTTGCTACATAAACTTCCTGATTTTGTCTGTCAGTCAGCTGTAAAGTAAAGTACGGGACCCTTTCCCACATTTTCATGCCTATTAGCCATATAGTGTTGGATCTATATTTACAGACAAATCAGCAAACAAATCTATTAAAGGCTGGGTTGACCTAGGAGCCAAGGTAATTTTTGACAAAGTATGGCTCCGTCAGGATTTGAACATATGACCTTTGGATTTGCAGGTGAGCACCTAGCTGCTACACCAATGCTGCTTCCTTAGTCAGCTGTATAACAATTAATTGTTTCCAAATTCATTTGCAAACTTACGGCCTCATTCTCATCAAAGATGGGCATGATTCGCTGGGGCCAAGTAAGAACTTCACAGTTGAGATCAATATCCTTTGGCTCAAAGAAAAACACATCAATCAAATATGCCAGACGGTCCTTCGACTCCTGTTGAAAGCAGTAAAATTTAATGAAAATGTTTTTACGAGGTAAAAGTACACTTATTGGTTAGACTTTGCTGACAAAAAGATGCTCACTGGATTTCATGTCTAGTTGGCCACATTTAAATGTATTGAAAAAAATCAGGTCTTTTTAAAATGATGATCGCTAGATCAAATGGAAAGCAAAGGGAACACACACTTAACTGTACTAGAATGTTCTATACTAAAGTGCACTACACACTGTTATATATTACAGTACACTAACTACATAAATTACTACACTACAGGGTACTGTACTAAATTGTACAGCCCTAACATACAACATACAGTAGAACCTCGCTTAACGAGCACCTCTCATAACAAGTAATTCAAATAATGAGCAAAACAAATTGTAAAAAAAAATGACTTGCTTAACGAGCGACGTTTCGCATAACAAAGGGAAAGTACCGAATTGTGCGCATGTTATATTAGTTTGTGTTTAACACTCGTTCCAGTAGCATCGTAGTGTCGCTTGTGATCACACATTTTCTCAAACTTGTGTTATATTGTGATATATGTACATGAATCCTTCAGGCCTAAAAGATGACCTCTCTGAAGAATTTAAGTTTATCAAGATCCCATTTCTGCCTCCCAACACCACTCCGTTACTCCAGCCTATGGACCAGCAAGTTATTTCTAACTTTAAGAAGCTTTACACTAAAGCACTCTTCAAGCATTGTTTTCAGGTGACTGAAGGGACCAACCTGACTCTCAAAGAGTTCTGGAAAAATCACTTCCACATCGTTGCCTGCCTCAAGATGATCGACAAGGTGGGGCAAGGGGTTACCAAGCGAAACCTAACTTCTGCTTGGAAGAAGCTTTGGCCGGAGAGCGTTGTCGATCTGTGACTTTGAGGGGTTCGAGACAGTACTTTTTGAACCTGTAGTCAATGAGATTGTGTCTTTGGCCACTATCACAGGATTGTAAGTGGATAACAGTGATATCGAAGAGCTTGTGGAAGAGCACAGCCAAGAGCTGACCACCCATGAGCTTATGGAGATTCATTGTGTTTCACACCAAGAAGTTTTGGAGGAAAGTTTATCAGAGGAGGAGGTAACAGAAAAGCAACAATCCTCTTGCGAAATAAAAGAAATGCTGAAAGCATGGCAAACTGTTGCATCTTGCATTGAGAAGCATCATCTCATAAGGAAGTGGCTATGCGCGATGCAAATTTATTTAATGATAATGCTGTGTCGAATTTTCGCCAAATTTTTAAGAGTCGGCAAAAACAAATGTCTCTGGACATCTTTCTAGTAATAAAAAAAAAAAATTAGCTATGTATCCTAATTATTTCGAATTTTTTTTCTGCAAGTCAAATTCCCATTCTGTGTGAGTTCGTTTCGTGTTTGAAGAAAAGATGAAGATGATTAACTCTCCTTAACAATATGTATATAATTTTCTTTGAATAAACATAGCATTTTGTGAGTATTTTTTTCAACATGGAACGCATTATCGTATTTTACATTAGTTTAAATAAGAAAATTTGTTTCGCATAACGAGTGTTTCGCTTAAAGAGTATGATTCTGGAACGAAGTATACTCGTTAAGCGAGGTTCCACTGTATTGTTTTAAATTGTGCTGTATAATGCTCTACCATACAATACTACACTGAAATACACCATATTAAATACACTATACTACTCTGTACTTTACCTAACTGTAGGGTAAAATACATTACTATACAATGTTAACTTTACTACACTATATTATATAGCTACACCCCTCTGCACTTTACAGAACTGTAGGGTAAAATACTTTATTACCCAATGCCATTTGTACTACACTATATTAAATATAGCACAACTACTCTGTACTTTTACTCAGCTGTACTGTAAAATGCTTTATTACACAATGTTAGACTGTATTACAATAGATTAAATACAATACACTGTACTTTTACTAAATTATATTATACAGTACTTTAATACACAATACTGTTCTCTACTACACAACTTTAATTACATACACTACACTGTACTTTACTAAAATAGCAGGGATTAAAATCAATCACACATCACACATCACACATTGTCACAGGAGATATAATCAATCACACAATTTTGGTCAAAAAGACAGAATCAGCTGTATATCATATGTTATCACACGGATTAAATCAAACATACATTGCACATTGTAACAGGAGGTATAGTTAATCACACGTCTTACAGAGATAGAATCAATCACATATAACACACTGTCACAGGGAGAGAATCAATCACATATAATCACATATGACAGTTTTACAGGGAGTGAATCTATCACATATAATTACATGTCACACACTGTTAAAGGATATAAGTGACTCCTTCAGTATGAAAGTGCATGAGGCGAGAGAGCTGGCGAGAGTTTCTTTCAGGCAGACCGTGATGAGAGCGACGTTCTGCAAAGGACCTGCTACATGATGATGATGAACACACTGTTACAGGGATGGAATCAATCACATATAATCACATATATCACACTGCTATGGGATAGAATCTGACACACCACAAGTTGCCTCAGGGAAACAGTCAATCAAACAAAATACTTTTTTGTGGGGGGGGGGGGGGAGGTTTGAAGGAGTAAATTGAGTGACGCTTAGTATTAAAGGGAGGGTGTGTGAAATCAGAGTCATATTACCCTCTAGTTTTGTTATAAGCTTGATGTCCCCAAAGTGTGATACTTAATGTAGTGTGAATGTTATGTAAAAAGTAAAGGTCCCTTTACATGCCAGTGGCGTATCAGGCATATGAGGCCAGTCGGCCCTTGATGAATGATGTGGTCAACATCATACCAGTCGTCTTTACTTCCTGTGACTTTACCTGGTGCCAGTTTAAGGCTTTGGTCCACCTGCCAGCCAAGGTTATGTGGGGAAAACAATCCGGCTCCACGTAGACTTGAACCCCCAGACCTTCAGATCCACAGGCGAGTATCTAATGACTGCACCACATGTGAATGTACATGCTTATAATTTTGTCATCATCTTATGGGGGTGGGGAATAGGGAGTAGTTAGGATCTCCATGGCAAAGTGGTCAAGCTGTTTGCCTGCCTTGCACTCTGAAAGTCATAGATTCGTTTCACGGATGCCTCTTCTGGTTTACAATTGTTTAGGAGACTCCTGTAATTGTTGTTGGAGCTATAGTATTCATGCTTTCTGCGACACACTCGGCAGGTGGCTGTCCACTCTGCTAAGCCTTATAAGACAAAACCCGGTGCAATGAAGTCCATCCTCAAAACTTTTACTTTTAACCTCTGACACCATTTTATTTAGGAGTAACACATGATGTAACATTCTTGTGGCACTTACAGTTATTTTCCGATTCAAGTGAATCATTCCTGTTGTGCGGGCAGTTTCAGCAAAATTAATAATGTCAATGAGTTCCTCACTGGTTGTAGGAACAGTCAGAACCCTGTCTCTGATATGGTTGAACTCTTTGCAAATACTGAAATGATGATTTGGTTAGTGAAATTATCATTACATATTAGCAAATACTACAATTTTCAGTTCATGGTTCTTTTGATAATGTGAGAAATGTTCTTATTTCATGGAAGCTGATTATTTCCACTTCTCATTAGGTTTATTTGCCCAAAATATCCATGAAGGGTGTAAATGCAGAAAGAAGAGATAGGTTGAAAGGATGTTTGATGTTTGATCGCAGTCTGTCCTACGAATATCATGTGAAGCAGACTGTGATTAAACGCAAGCTTGACCTGGTGGCACTAAAGACGATGGTGGCGACAAACATGGGATAGAGATTATTGGTATTACTGTTCAACCGTTTGGTCCTTTCAGTAACTGATTATGGCCTAGGAATATTAACCCTATCTACTACACAGTGTACAAAGCTTAAAAAGATTCAAAAAGATTGTGGCAGAACAAAATGGAGTTTTTTTTTAATTTACAACTTCAAAAATGAGGATGGAGGTGGAGGCAATCACTGCAGCTCTGATTTGAATAGCAGAAAACACGGTTATTGGAGGAATTACTGTGTCGGATTCTCAGTTGGCACTGCATAAGGTTCAAAGGGGACTAAAGTGGCAAGAGTTGATACCAAGCATCAGTACAGCAGCATTGCAGGGAATCATGTGGATTAACTGTCCGGGATATGCGGGAGTGAGAGGGAATGAAAGAGCGGATTTTCTGACTACAAAAGCAAACACTATGGGAACGCTCGTACTGGATAAGGGAGATATTCTGAAGACCATACATGAACAAATCTTGACAGAAGACACGAGATTAGATGAAATAACATGGGCAAGAATGTGGGAACGAGGAATTAAGTGTGGATCCAGCAAGCAGGGACGGATGAGAGGAAGAGAACGATGTGTGTATAATCAGTGTGCTACGGGATCAGTTAGCATCTACACCTTAGGACGTTTGCTGTTTAAGATGGAGCATCTATGAATATGCCTGTCGATTCTTAAAACAGTAATCAGATTAGAGAGAGAGAGAGAGTGTGTGTGTGTGTATATGTGTGTGTGTGTGTGCGTGTGTGTGTGTGTGTGTGCGTGCATGTGTGTGTGTGTGTATGCTCTTCACTATATGTTGATTAAAATCTGCTACTAGAATTGCAGTTTATCATTGATGGAAGCAGTAGTTACAATAAATCAGCAGTTGCACAGGCATTACTGCATAAGGCATCAGGCTGCTCACCCTTTTCTGAATCTGCAGTTCATAATACAAACCACCTTAAGCACTGTCAAAAAGCATTCTAAATGAAATTCCCAGCTCACAGTGTTGCACCCAGCACTCAACTCAGTTAACGACAGAGGTATAAGTGTTTCAAGCATTGCCAAGGTAGTAAGAAAATTCATAAGCTTTAGGTGAAGGGAAGGCAGGGGATGGAAGGCATGGATGAGAAGTGGATATAGAAGCTTGCTGGCGGAACTACAGTGGAAAGCAGACAAACGATGGAGAAGGCTGATATACTAAATGCTCTCAGGATGCAAGAAATGGTTGTGAATCTGCAGTCTTAATCAGACTGCAAGAACACTAAGCTAAATTTTAAAAAAAAAACAGCTGCAGCGTCAAATTATGTTTCAAAGAAATAAACTTCTGCAGCACAGTAAAAGTGATAGATAAGTTTTCTAGCACTTACCCTTCATTTTCAGTTCGATGATCTGAAGAAACCCGGCTAAGAAGTTCATCTGCCAGTCTTCGACATGCTTGAGCCAGACCCCGTTTCAGGTCTTCACAATCAAGGCGGATCATGTCAAAATGCTCAATGCTTGGCAATCCCATAATTTCTGATGCTAGACTGCGAAACTTTTCAATTTCCTATAGGAGACAGATGTTATACATGTCTCTAAAAAGGCTCAGGTACGAGTTAGTAGGGCCTATGAAAAACTGTGAGTTAAAAGCCAGAAGAAAGTCTTTACTAAAGTAACTAGAAAAGTATTTGCTAAAGCTGATTTTGCAGTGTTGCTGGATAACAGCATTACCATAACACCCAGTGTGCTTTTCTGTGTTTGTGACAGGGCCAGGACACTAGCTCACAAATCTATGACTCTAGCTTGCATGTCTAAGATCTAGCTCACATGTCCATGACCTTAGCTCACATGTCCATGACCCTAGCTCACATGTCCATGACCTTAGCTCACATGTCCAAGACCTAGCTCACATGTCCATGACCCTAGCTCACATGTCCATGACCCTAGCTCACATGTCCATGACCATAGATCATTTGTCCATGACCATAGCTCACATGTCCATGACCCTAGCTCACATATCTATGACCATAGCTCACATGTCCATGACCCTAGCTCACATATCTATGACCCTAGCTCACATGTCCATGACCCTAGCTCACATATCTATGACCCTAGCTCACATGTCTAAGACCTAGCTCACATGTCCATGACCCTAGCTCACATGTCCAAGACCTAGCTCACATGTCCATAACCCTAGCTCACATGTCCATAACCCTAGCTCACATGTCCATAACCCTAGCTCACATGTCCATGACCCTAGCTCATATATCCTGACCCTAACTCACATGGTCATGACTCTAGTTCATATGTCCATGACCCTAGCTCGCATTTCTATGACTCTAACTCACATGGCCATGACCCTAGCTCACGTGTCCATAACCCTAGCTCACATGTCCATAACCCTAGCTCACATGTCCATGACCCTAGCTCACATACCCATGACACTAGCTCGCATGTCCATAACCCTAGCTCACATGTCCATGACTCTAGTTCATATGTCCATGACCCTAGCTCGCATTTCCATGACTCTAACTCACATGGCCATGACCCTAGCTCACATGTCTATGTATCTAGCTCACATATCCATGACCCTAGCTCACATACCCATGACCCTAGCTCACATTTCCATGACCTTAGCTCACATATCCATGACCCTAGCTCACATGTCCATGACCCTAGCTCACATATCCATGACCCTAGCCCATGCATCCATGACCATATCTCAAACATCCTTGGAAATTGTTGGTCTTCAATCTGGTATCTACTTGTTGATTCGCTTGACTTGACAAGAACTGAGGCTTCAAGAAGCTTCAATACAGAAAAGATCTGCATCTAGAATAGTTACTCAACCTAAAAACTGCATTTTCACCCACTGCAGAGGCCCTTGCATGATTTCCACCTCAACCATAACATGATGTGTAACTGGCTCTTTCTCATGAATTCCATGCAACATGTGTTTTTGTACTTTTTACGTTTGATCAGAACATATTTAAATAACTGTCATCCCCAGTGGCCACTTCTGCTGCAACCAGTATCAAAGCTCTTACTTATATAGGTGTATTGTCCACTGTCTGCAACTGTCATGTTTTCAAAAACCCCTAAAGGTTGGAAAACTGGCTTTCTTGAGGCAATAAGGTTAACCAACCTACCACAGTAAACTCAGCAAAAGTGTGCTCCTCTTTCATGTATTCTTTGATCTCTGAAAGAGCTGCTCCATTGACAATATAGTCATATCTCTCAACTGAAAACAAAAATGTGTAAAAATATTAAATCCATGTCACTAATTAACTCTTTCATTGGTGGGCTGTTTTTATTTTACAACAATACTACTCTAGATTGCAAGGAGTTAAAGTAACCATTACATAGGTCAGACATTGATCGCTCTTCAAAACACAGGACAGATTTAGATATCTTTTGAAACAGCATGGAACAATCTTAGATGTCACTTTAATTATTCAGGACACATTTAGATGTATATTTACTAGGGCTGTACCGAATAGTGATTTTCACTATTCGGCCGAATACGAATAGCTGGACCAACTATTTGGCCGAATACGAATACGAATAGTGAATCATCATCATCATGTGCTTTGCCGGCTGGCATGGGCGATTATGCCTCGCCACAATCTGCAATCTCCTGCAGCACGTATTAGTTCGTGTGCTGACACACCTCCATGAAAAACCTTCGTTCCATGTTGTCAGCATTAGGCCAGCTTTTTTGTCTCACTGAAGGTATTTCCAGCTGTACTAAACAGGAAAATACGACAAATACAGAGAGTCAAAATGAAAACCCGCAAGGCGAAACATCAAAAACAAAAATAACGCCGACGAAGAAAACAATGCCGTCTTTACAAGTTGCCCATCCCCGCGAGCTCACGAAACCAGACGCCGGGCGGCCAACGCCAGAAGATCAAACAACAAAGACAATCAAGAAACCGAACGTCGATCAAAACATTCAGCCAAATACCAAATAGTTATTGGGTCCACTATTCGGCCCCGAATCGAATACGAAGCAAATATTCGGTACAGCCCTAATATTACCTCCCTGGACATTTCCTGGTATCTATATTAGAATGAGTTAGTCTATGAGCCAAGGTCAATAATACAAATCTGTCTTCATGTAGATTTGAACTCAAGATTTTCAGGCTGACAGGCAAGTATCTCTCTACCAATGTAAATCCCACATAGATAGAACAATATGTGCACATTTGCTTTTAGATTTCTTCTTCTTCTCATTGTCCATGCTGTGTCGTAGGTAGTCATATCTGTTCACAGCCTTCTGTCAAATGTACTTTTTAACAATTCTAGCTCTGATGATCTTTCATGCCATAATGTCAAAACCATCCAGAATCTTCTCTCTTGGTCTCTTTCTGTACTTTTAAACATCCTATAGTAAATCCCCCCCCCCCCCCCCTCGCCAAAACAAATTTTGTTTATCATCTTATTTTTTCATTAAAGTTAAAAGTTAGTTGAGAGGACTGACTGCACTGTGACGGGTTTTATCCTATATGGCTTCGTCTCTCTCTTGGTCTTTGCACAACAGCTAGCTGCCGGCCGACAGCGTCCCACAAAGTAGGACCATCATAGCACATGACGATACCCAGGGGTCTCCGTATAATCAGCACTTGTGAACTGAACAAGACAGCCTTCTCAGCGCATATAAATGACTCACTGAATGACTCCAGGTGTTTCTGTGGGCCTTCAAAATACTGATGGACAGCCTCCTTCAGCTTGGATATGGAACTCTCCAGTATATGGGAGGCAACTTTTGCATCAGTGTACGAGACAGTGTTACCTCCCCCTAGCCATGACTGAATTGTAGGCACCTTGTGGAAAAAGGAAAAAAATTAAACATATATTTGTTCCTTTTTTTTTTTTTTTATATTTTTGTCTTGAACTTTAAAGAAAATTGAGAAATTTTTTTTTTAATGTTTGCTTGACAGAACCAAGTACAATCAACAAATAAAGGACACTGCAGCGACAAATTGATGATGAGAAACAAACCACAACACAAAAATAGTAAATTGTGCTGAAATAACTTCATTACTGTTTTCAAATATTATGTAAATGTATGAAACAGAATAGCAAAAAGTGACAGAATGATACAAAAATTTGTAAAACTCATCTGGACCTTTCACAGTTTGATGGTTGGCTTCTTTTGTATTAGTTAGTTGCGTATCTTTTACAGGACGTTGCAGAACCAACCCCAGCATTTTTTGTTTGGCTGTTGTGGTTTTTCTAGACAAGTTTAGATCCGGTAGTTTGCCATTGCTTTCTGGACGGTTGGCTTCTTGATACCACTGTTGAAACCAACACAAGGTGCAAGGCCTGCACCTGGGATTGAACTTGGCACCACGGTATTATAAAGCTCGTTCGCAACGTCTTAGCCACAGACGCCGACTTTTGTTGAATACATATATATATATATATATATATATATATATATATATATATATATATATATATATATATATATATATATGTGTGTGTGTGTGTGTGTGTGTATATATATATATTAAATAAGAGAAGAGAGAGCACACATCCCTTCATCAGCCCTGTATAGATTGAAAACATATCAGATATGCCTTCTTGTGTTCTCTCTGTACTCTGTGAAGCATTGTACATGGCCATGATATTATCTAGCAATTGTCCTTATATCCCGTAATCTCCAAGAATTGGCAGTTGTATGTTTGGGCGCAGTCAAAGAATGAAAAGTAACCTGCTGCTTACCTGCTGCATGGTTTTGCAAATCTGGGTCACCACAAACAGTACGGTCTCCTCCAGGTCGGAGACAGGTGGATAGAACTGCATTTTCTCCTCATCAAAAATCAGTTCCATCTTCAAAATCGGCAAGTGTAGGTGATTCTCTGGTTCAAATATGCTGGTGTAGGAATCAATGGTCCTGACTAGCAAATCCTTCAGCTGTTCAAGCAAGAGGCCACATAAGGTCATTGACAGTTGTTATAACCTCTTTGAGTCCCAGGGGGTTTAGCATCACAGGCCCAGAGGGTAGTAAAAAGAGTCATAAAATCGGCGCATCTTGCATTCATTGGGCTTCTAGATAGGAACCTATGAACGTATGATGCGTTTCTTGGGACTCAAAGAGTTAAGCTACTGAATTTAACAAATGTAACAAACAAATAAACAAAAAATCAATAAAATACAAATTAATTTATTTTTTAAAATTACTTGCATATCCTGTACAGGACATTGCAGAACCAATCTCAGCATTTTTGTTTTTAGCTATTTGTGGTTTTACTAAACAATTATTTTCAGTAGTTTGCTATTGTTCTCTGAACAGTCAGTACTCCATACTACTTTCAAAAGCAACAAGGTGAAAAAACAAAACAACTGAATAAATATGTTTGTAAAAGACTAACTCACAAAAATAACTTTATTATCCCCCTAACGGGTCTGGAGCCCCAGTGTGCGGGAAAACAAGCATGTCATAAGAGTTGACTAATTTGGGGTTTCCTTTGAAGTCAGAGTGCATCTGCCTAAGAAGCAAGGAACCAACAATCTGCATATAAATAAGACAGATCTGTAAAACAAACGTGCACACAATGCCAAAGTTTCTGGAGAAAAGACTAAAGTACAGAAGTGGATGAACAACCATGACTCTCTGCCAGAGTTTACACCCGATGAACGTGAATGCTGTATGAGATGACTAATTACGGGTATTTTCTTTAAAACCAGAGCCCGTCTGCCTGAAAAATGAGAAACCAAGAGTCTGCATATACATAAGCCAGATCTGTCAACTGGATGTGCACGCAAAACTCAAGTTCTGGAACAAGAGCAAAGTCTAGAAGTGGACAAACAATCAGTTCTTTCCACCAAAGTTTGAGCTGGTGAAAGCAAGACAAAATAAGCTGAAATCCTAAATAATTTGACCAACCTGATTAGAAATCAGTGTGGAAACACTGTTGTAAAAGGACTCCATCTTGCCTGTAGGGATGTCAGCAAAGCTGTCTTTCTCTGTAAATATGTTAATGACTCCAGGATGCCAGCTAGATTTTAGCAAAGAAGAACTGGTCACAATTATTTAACTCTATTAGTCTCAAAGACATGTTACACCAACACTGCCGATCTTAAAGTTGTTGTACCTTACAGCAACAATCTTTACATTTCATAGAATTAAACTAGTACAACCAGGCCCTTTTTCCACACACAGAAAAGAAAAGGTGCCAGTACTCACTACGAAATGTCTATTACATCATCAATCTCGAAGAAAAAATTATACTTAAAATAGGTGCCACCAGTACTTTGTACTTTGCCAGTACATCTTCTCCCCTAAAAGTACTGGAAAGTTTCAGGAAATGCCATTCTGGCCTCAAGATTCAGCGAAGAGAAAACGCCAACTGCACCTCCACTCAATGGAGGATGGTAAACACACTGTGGTGTGGCCAACACAGCTATACTTTGTTAGCAGGAGCATCATAGAGCAGGGCATTCACTTGCCTTGGCAATCCAAAAGGTTGCAGAAGACTGAGGACATTGTCTAAAGCTGTGTGGATCAGGAGGGAAATTACCACATTATTATCTCTAGAAACTCAATATGAAAGCCAGTTAAAACAGCTTTAAAAGTCTACTGTTAAGCAGCAGCAAGGAAATAAAAGTTAAATTTTGAGAACATGCATCTTTCCTGTAGTAACATATGCTTGTGAGTCGTGGATGATCACCCAGTCCTAAACCTTGTCATACCATTCTGGGATGCAATTTTTCGTTATTTGAAGCCCTTCTCTGGCTCTTGCCAGGGGCTGCAATTTTTCGTTATTTGAAGCCCTACTCTGGCTCTTGCCAGGGGCTGCAATTTTTCGTTATTTAAAGCCCTACTCCGGCTCTTGCCAGGGGCCGCAATATAGCCCGGCCATAAATATGGTCTAATGGCTGAACACGGTTTCTGGGACCTCTCCATGGTGATCCTCATCCGCATGGTGGCACTTTGTGTCTTCGGGTGTGTGATGTAAAAGTAGATAGACAGAGATCCCAGTCCTTGAGAAAAAAAATATAAGTGACTCCTAGAATTTAAAAGTGCATGAGGTGGGAGAGCTGGTGAGAGACTGAGTTTCTTTTAGGCAGACTGCGATGAGACTGATGTTCAGAAACCATATAGGGAACTCGGTAATGAGACCACAAGGGCTGTTTTGATAGCCACAGACGCAATATTAACTACTTGATAGGACCTGAAGCGATGATTTTTCATTAAAAGAATAATGTGGCAGAGTTCTGTAACAGACTTTAAGTAATCATGTTCTTGCTTGTAGGAGTGAAAATCACAAATGTCTGTGGCAGACTTTAAGTTATCATATTCCTGGATTTAAAAAAAAATTAAAGTAACAACTGTTTGACACAGACTTCAAATAATCATGGTCCTGGTTAGAAAAAATTTAAAGTGACAAATGCTCAGACAGACTTCAAGTAATCATGTTCCTGATAGAAAGAATTAAAATGGCTACTGCATCAGATAAAAGTAATAATTTTTGTAATAGAAAGAACTAAAGTGGCAATTGTCTCAGGGAGAAACAGGCAATTTCTCACGCTAAGATCTGGAAGATATTCAACAATGAAGAAGAAACAGGTAATTCTCATGCTAATATCTGGAAGATATTCAACAATGGAGGAGAAACAGGCAATTTCTCATGCTAATATCTGGAAGATATTCAACAATGGAGGAGAAACAGGCAATTTCTCATGCTAATATCTGGAAGATATTCAACAATGGAGGAGAAACAGGCAATTTCTCATGCTAATATCTGGAAGATATTCAACAATGGAGGAGAAACAGTCAATTTCTCATGCTAATATCTGGAAGATATTCAACAATGGAGGAGAAACAGGCAATTTCTCATGCTAATATCTGGAAGATATTCAACAATGGAGGAGAAACAGGTAATTTCTCATGCTAATCTTAGTCTTAGTCTTTCCTCTTGTGTCGAGTGCGGCACATAGGGCAGAGGTCGCGACTCTCCATGCACGGCGGTCCGTTGCAATCCGTTGTAGGTCTTGGATGTTTGAGTGGCCCATGAGCGAGCCTTCCCTGATGATAGTTCTACGTAGGGTTTCCCTTGGTCTTCCACGAGATCTTTTCCCCTGTGGTGTCCAAATGAGGGCTTGGTAAGGAAGTCTTGATTTATCCATTCTAAGGGCGTGGCCGACATAGTTCCAGCGGCGTTTTTGTATAAAATTAGACACATACTCTTGCCTGGATTCTTGCCTTATTTGTGTATTGGTTCGGAAATCTGACCATTTGAAATTTAGTATTCTTCTAAGGCATTTATTTTCAAAACTGTCTAATTTTGTGTCTATAGTTTTCGTTGATTTCCAGCTCTCGCATCCATAGGTTAGTACTGGAATCACACAAGAATTGAAGATCTTAAGTTTTGTGTGTTTGCTAAGTGTCTTTGATTTCCAGATGTTAGACAGTTTATTGAAGGCACTAGATGCCAGTGCTATTCTAAATGATATTTCTGGTGCGGTATCTCCTGTAGATGACATCTTGCTCCCTAGATAAGTGAAACTGTTGACTTTTTCAAGGCTGTTGTTGTTCAGCGTACAGCTAATATCTGGAAGATATTCAACAATGGAGGAGAAACAGGTAATTTCTCATGCTAATATCTGGAAGATATTCAACAATGGAGGAGAAACAGGCAATTTCTCATGCTAATATCTGGAAGATATTCAACAATGAAGGAGAAACAGGTAATTTCTCATGCTAATATCTAGAAGATATTCAACAATGGAGGAGAAACAGGCAATTTCTCATGCTAATATCTGGAAGATATTCAACAATGGAGGAGAAACAGGCAATTTCTCGTGCTAATATCTGGAAGATATTCAACAATGGAGGAGAAACAGGCAATTTCTCATGCTAATATCTGGAAGATATTCAACAATGGAGGAGAAACAGACAATTTCTCATGCTAATATCTGGAAGATATTCAACAATGGAGGAGAAACAGGCAATTTCTCATGCTAATATCTGGAAGATATTCAACAATGAAGGAGAAACAGGTAATTTCTCATGCTAATATCTGGAAGATATTCAACAATGGAGGAGAAACAGGTAATTTCTCATGCTAATATCTGGAAGATATTCAACAATGGAGGAGAAACAGGTAATTTCTCATGTTAATATCTGGAAGATATTCAACAATGAAGGAGAAACAGGTAATTTCTCATGCTAATATCTGGAAGATATTCAACAATGGAGGAGAAACAGGCAATTTCTCATGCTAATATCTGGAAGATATTATTATTATTATCGATCACCGGCTGTGAATTCCAGTGGAAGGTCCAGGTTAATCGTCCGCTTGGACTTTTGGCTTTCACCTGGACCTGATTTTTGCGTGTACAACCGTTTTTCATTTCCCTGCCTCATGGGCAGCTGTACTCCGACTTCGAAGGAAGACGTCAGGCCTATTTCTAGGGTGACTGTGGCCATTGTTTTGTGTGGGTCGAGACGTTGCCTGACTTGTGTGGTGTCCACTTTGTCTCTTTCGCCGCAGGTATTGCCCCCGGAGTACCCCTTTAGGGCAGCCCCCTGTGGAACAGTTAGCCCTCAAGGGAAGGCAGGGGCAGATCATGGGCATTCCCCGCCATCCAAGGAGGCTTCCATGCATGCAGAGCCGGTACATGGCGCTCTGGTTCTGGGCTCACCCAAGGAATCGTCACGTCCTGCACATGCCTGCTTGACCTCACAACCGTATCATGCCTCCCGCTCGACAGGGGCTGCGCCCTCTGGAAGTCAGCGGGGAGCAGCCCGTGGGTTTTGGACTTTTGTGACCACACAGATAGGTACATTCTTTTTTCTTCGCAAGTTAGATTTCTTTGACGAGCCGTTAGCCCGACAGAATTTTACATCCTGCATCAGGCATATCGTTATCAGTTTTGTCCCAACACTCGGGCGAATGGGGTCTTTGGGTGTGGACATTCGATCTTTTTCAGTTCAATACAAATTTTGATGGTCAGATTTTGATCCGTATGATCTAGTTTTGTCGGACATTTAGGCTTGGCCATCCGATGGATGGTTGCTGTTGTGGTGTACCTCAGCGCGGTGACGACGACACTGAGGGTTAACCGAGGATGTACATGAATGGCCAGCCTATGGATGGTTGCTGTTGTGGTGCACCTCAGCGCGGTGACGACGACACTGAGGGTTAACCGAAAATGTACAAGGATGGCCAGCCTATGGATGGTTGCTGTTGTGGTGTACCTCAGCGCGGTGACGACGACACTGAGGGTTAACAGAGGATGTGCAGTGAACAGTGTTCTCTTTGCTCCGCAGTCTTTTAACCAAGGGTTGTAATTTTGGCTGTACGTTTGGCAAACCTACTCTTGTTCCTAATGAGTTTTGATAACATTTTTCACCCAAGCGTTTGGGGGCGACTGATGAGAGCCACAAGGACACATCACCTCTGGGGGCCGCCGAACTCCGAGATCCCCTGACAGCTCTGTTAATGCTCATTTGAGACATTATCCGTGGCGCACGACGAGGACGTGCTGTAGGGGTCTTGCGTGAGGTTCCGTACAACCAGGATAGTAAAGGACTGGCGCCCGAGTGACGTACGGAGTATCTCCTTATACACATCATGTTGGACTTAACTTCCCCTCACGCCTGTGACATAAATCACCGCGCCACTGGAAGATATTCAACAATGGAGGATAAACAGGTAATTTCTCATGCTAATATCTGGAAGATATTCAACAATGGAGGAGAAACAGGCAATTTCTCATGCTAATATCTGGAAGATATTCAACAATGGAGGAGAAAAAGGCAATTTCTCATGCTAATATCTGGAAGATATTTAACAATGAAGGAGAAACAGATAATTTATCATGCTAATATCTGGAAGATATTCAACAATGGAGGAGAAACAGGTAATTTCTCATGCTAATATCTGGAAGATATTCAACAATGGAGGAGAAACAGGTAATTTCTCATGCTAATATCTGGAAGATATTCAACAATGGAGGAGAAACAGGCAATTTCTCATGCTAATATCTGGAAGATATTCAACAATGAAGGAGAAACAGGTAATTTCTCATGCTAATATCTAGAAGATATTCAACAATGGAGGAGAAACAGGCAATTTCTCATGCTAATATCTGGAAGATATTCAACAATGGAGGAGAAACAGGCAAATTTTCATGCTAATATCTGGAAGATATTCAACAATTTGAGGAGAAACAGGCAATTTCTCATGCTAATATCTGGAAGATATTCAACAATGGAGGAGAAACAGACAATTTCTCATGCTAATATCTGGAAGATATTCAACAATGGAGGAGAAACAGGCAATTTCTCATGCTAATATCTGGAAGATATTCAACAATGAAGGAGAAACAGGTAATTTCTCATGCTAATTTCTTGAAGATATTCAACAATGAAGGGGAAATAGGTAATTTCTTATGCTAATATCTGGAAGATATTCAATACTGAAGGAGAAACAGGCAATTTCTCATGCTAATATCTGGAAGATATTCAACACTGAAGGGGAAACAGGTAATTTCTCATGTTAATTTCTGGAAGATATTCAACACTGAAGGAGAAACAGGCGGGCTTTCAATCCGGTTGCAGCTGGTACCATTAGCATGTCCCCTCTTCATCGGCTGCTGAAGTAGGGGACAGAACACGTGTGGGAATGTGCAGTGATGCCAGTTCTTGACTCATGTATTGATTCAATAATTAATGCTAATTAACATAAAACCGAGAAAAAGAATTTTTAAGTTATATAAATCCTAATTTGATATATGAAAGTGAATCAGGGACAGTGGGTAGATTAGTGAAAAATTATTTGAGAAATGTGGTTTTATAGACGAATGATGAGAATACCCTGGACAGATGAAAAGAGTAATGAGAATGACTCACAAAGAGAACTGATTACCCACATCAGAAAGAGACAATCTACATTCTTTGGCCATGTGATGAGATGAAGAAAACTAAGAGTCCATTGTGACAGCAGGAAAGTTGGAGGAAAGGAGAGGCAGAGGGAGACAAAGAGAAAAGATGCTGGACAGTTTGACATCATGGCATGGAAGATCATCGGTGTCAGAGTTGACAGAAAATACACGAGACAGAAGATAGTGGACAAACATGACTGCCAATGCCACACGACATGGACTTTAAGAAGAAGAACATAAAACCAAAGTTTTCTGGCTAAAGATCTAGAAGAAGACAGGGAAACTGGGAAAACAGAGCTTCACGCCCAAACATAGCTAAGACACATGTATGAAGTTGCTCTTACCCGTGCATCAGTTTTTCTTCTGCCTTCTCCAGATCAAGAATAACATTATTCTTTAGGCTTTCAAAATCCATGGGGCCAACCAGCCTGGTTTAAACAGAAAGGGAAACAATGATTATGCAGACAGAAATTACATTTAGTTTTGTCCTTTTATCATCATCAACAAGTGCCTTGCCAACTGGCGAGGGTGATCGTGCCTCTCCCCAACCTGCAATCTCCGACAGTATGTTTCAGTTTCAGCGTTGACAACTTTCCATGCCATGTTGAAAGGCTATCAAGAATCTTCTCACATTGTCTTCCTTGTCTTCTCTAGTCCTCCTCTGTCTTTCGGCATCCGTTTTTGAAGAGGTGTCAGATGCTAGTCTTGGTATGTGCTGTGTAGATGCTGGCACTCAAGGCCTTAAATATTTGATCTATCCATTGCCTGTTTGGTCAACCTCTAAATGCTTCCATTATGGCTAATTGACAGGCCTCTCCGTAGTGCACTATTTGGTGGTAGTCTTGAAACAAACCATTTGATATTAGAGTCTTGATGTAGTTTAGTACTAGTTTTATCCCAGCTTCTTCCTGATTTTGTCATTTCTGATTCTGTCTCAAAATCTTTCTAGAGGTCAGTATATGTTCCACTTTCTTTATTACAATAAGATAATTAAAACAAAATGATGCCTGTGGTAAGTTGCCATTTCAGGTAGTTGGTATGTTTACATGCTGCATGAGGCAACCAGCAAGGTTTGAACTGAGACTTGAGTCTTCATCCCTTAGGAATCAAACTGTAAAATCCAATCAGTCCCATAAGTATGAGTAAAGGTCTTAGTGAGAAGTAGCTGCATGCCTATGCTCCACTGGGAGATGAAAGAAGAAGATGTAGATAAGAAAGAGGAGACAGGGGATGTGGAGGAAGAGATAAAGAGAAGAAAAATAAAAAACAAAGAAATGTGTTGTTATTCCAACTGGAACTGACCATCATATTGAGATTGGTTGAAACAGAATTAAAAACATCAGAAAATAATTTTGAAATGGTTTTATAAACGTTTTTCCTCTCCTTCCATTCCTCTTTTACTGCTTTGGGTGTCAAGGGAGATTTAAGTTTCTGCTTCTGGCTCTTCCAGTCGCCTTATCCACAGATGCATCTCGTTGTTGTAGGGTTTCTCTGATGTTATTATTTTTTAGTGCTTCTTGGTCTACCTCATGCTCTACATCCTCCTCTTTTCATGTATGTCTTATATGGTATGATGTGACAAGGCATTCTCTCTAAATGGGAAAACCATTTGACTTGATGTCTCTGTTTGTAATTTTGAACTGGTTCTGTGCTGATTTGTTCTCTCATGACCCTATTCTTGATTTTATCTCTTCTGGTCACTCCTGCAGCCCTTCTCAGACATCTGATTTCCATAGTTAATAACTTTCTATTTAGATAAGTTATCTAAAAGTTAAAACAAAGTGGTAAATGTACACGCTAAGTTTATAATGTATTGTTTACAGAAAAAATTTTGGGGGCTGCGTTAGCGCAGTCGATAAGAGGCTCGCTTTCAAATCCAGCTACGACTTGCTGCATCTCATGGTCCGTGTTCAAAACCGGGAGGTTTCCGGGGTTCACCCAGCCTCTAGGAAAATGGGTACCAGAGTTGACACTTTGGGGTAAATGGAGGAACGTCACTGTAGCTACAGAGTTATGTGCGAACGGCAACATAGGCAGACAATTCTTATCAGCTGTCCGTACTAGTGGCAGAGCACTTATGGTTTATAACCGTGTGCAATGATGCTGGTTCACATCTTCCGACTTTTTTGTTTTGTTTACAGTAAGTGAAATGAAAATCCTAGTTTTATAACAGTTTTTACACCTACAAAGTTATTCTTTTTTTAAATAATGCGGACAAGAACAAAAGATTGCACAATTTATTGCCAGGCATTTTTTGCTGTATCTCGTCAGGTTTGTTACTACAGAGTTACATCAACATAAAATGAAGCACAAAACTTAATAAATCCAACTGAAACGCAAATAGTTTCTTTCAATACATCGTGTGTGTTTTGGCCGTCGGAAGCTCATTGTAGTCACATGACTTACCAGGGTAACTTCAAATTTATTATAAATTCTGTCTACTTACAAAGGAGAGGGTTGTTGATTTTAATTATTAAAGCTTCAGCCATTCTCAACAGTCTTCTGTCCAGAGTGTGATAAATCACAAGGAAAGCACTGTCTGTGTCAATTACGTGTCCGGAATTAAGTAGATGGCGTCCTATGGAAGAAGTGTGTTCTTTCCTCTTGACTGGTCTCGACAAACTTGTCCCTTTTTAAAAAAACTCCAAGACAGAAGAAGAAGGAAGGAGAAAACAAAAGTTACAATGAACCTGTACTGTCTGACATCCACCAGTATCATGTTACCCAGTGTTGCCTGGCACATCTGCAGCACTGTCTGATGGGAAGGATGCAAGCAAAACAGGTTGCTTTGAATGTTTCTTCGATTGTCCAAATATGAATCATGCCATGGTTGTGAGTAGTCCAGACCTCTGAAATAAAATAAACGTGTGAAAAAAACACTGTATACTTCTGTATACTACTTCACAAACATCAGAAAGAGACAGTCATCATTTTTTGGTCATGTTAAGAGGAGAGAAACTGTAACCTGTTGTGAAACTTGTGACCACTGGACAGATCTGTGGAAAGAGAGACAGAGGAAGACAATGCTAGAAGATTCTTGACAGCTTTCTGCATGAAGGGGTGCAACCCATGAACTGATATACTCAGTTGTGGGTTGTAGAGTGTGGAGAGGCATGATCGCCCATGTAAGTCGGCAAGGCATTTGATGATGATGATACTTCTGTCTATTTGTAACTTAAAAAGAGGGTGGGCGGGGGGGGGGGGGGGGGGTGGCTATGATGAACATCACAGTAATTTGACGTGTATTAAAAACAAGTACAGTGGTATCTCAGGTCACAAACTTAATTTGTCATTTTAACCTGGTTTGCAAACCAAATTGTTCACGAACACATAACATTTTTCCCATTGAAATTAATGCAAATCCACGAATCCTTTCGACAACCCCGGAAACAATTTTTTCAAAGTTTTTCTTTAGGTATCTATGTGTGGCAAAAATATATAATTAAAAAATTATGCAGTATAACTTTATTTTTGTGGTTGATAGTTCCTGGAACATGCAGATGGTCGAGGAGAAGGAAGACTACTCCTTTGAAGGAGAGTCCCATTCCATAATTTTCTTAAAGTAATGATCCCTTTTCATGCCTTCTGGCACATCAGGCATTTGGGAAGAGCTACCATATTTTTGCAGACCATTGGGCACTAGGTGGCTAATGTGGTCAGCATTACGCTGGCGATCTTTACTTCCCCAGGAAATTTTTTTTTTTTTAAATATTCAGAAAGCATGAGTTGTTACCCCTTTGGCTCGGTACTATGGATATCGCAAACCTTCGGCCTTGATTCCATGATAGATACCGTAAGTCTGGGAGAAATGTGGCTTTTCTGCCTACCCCCGGGAGTGCACCCGGACCACAAGGAGTTCGTCACCCGGTCACCGCGCAGTCCGGTTTAGCCAACCACGCTAGAGAGCTGGGCTCCCCAGGACATACATCCTGGTACCTATTTTAGGCTGGATCAACCTACGACACCCAAACCATGATAAAAATCCACACAACCAGCAGTAGGTTTCGATCGCGGTACGTTGGAATTATGGGTTGGACTCGCAACGCCTGAGCCATGGACGTTGCCGCGCATTCCAACTGTGTATGCATTTCTTGTGTTGTTCTTCTCCTGGGAAATAGTTCGATTGCTGACTCAGTGGCTGGTGTTTTCACCTGATAATGATCCAGACACATCTGTGTTTTTTTTGGCTGGATAATTTTCACACTGCCATTTCAAATGTCAACTACTCTTATTATCATCATCATCATGTGCCCTGCCAACTGGCGTAAGTGCTCATGCGTCTCCACAGATCACAATGCCTGGAACAGCTCTTTTGATGACATCCCTCCATGCCATCGTTTCAGCCCATCCAGCATCATCTCTCTTGGTCTGCCTCTACCCCTTTTTCCACTGATCTTTCCGGTTGTCAGAATGTTCTCCAGTGTCTCTCTTCTCATTATGTGGCCAAAGAACAATGTTTAACAACTTCTCAGCTGGTCATATTTTTGCAAGGTTGTTGCTTTTCAATGAAAACCTGCACTTCACTCAGTTTGCTACAAACTTCACAGATCTCAGCACTAACAGTGCTCACTTTCTTGGGAGCCTTAAATGAGAGTTATTTAAATGCAAAAAAGTAACAACCAAAAGAAACAAAAAAATTAAAAATAATTGTATCAAGAACCACCTGAGTTCAAATAATGCTCTTTACGAGGCAAAAACAAGGTGCCATTTTATGCATTTATGCGCCAAGACACCGTTCACGGACTGGTTCATGCGCCAAGACACCGTTCACATACTGAGTCAAAATGTGATCGAAAATTGTATTTTTGTGGGCCAGCTTGTTTATGACCAGATTTTTACTACCACATTTGTAAGTTTCAACTATCCTGGACACACAATATCAGATGATGGCATATGTGAATGAATGATTAAATGAATGAATCAATCAAGAACTGACATCACTGTACTGCATATTTCAGGGAGTTGTAGGTAGGCTGCACTCTCTCGTGGGACAAAGGTGGGTTGGGGTTAGGGCCAGTTCTAGATGTTTTGGGGTCGCTAAAAGCATCAGAAAGCCGAGAAACCCAGTCCTATCACCATCTAAAATGTTGAACTGTCCTGTGACATCATTTGGTGTAGGATATTAATAAAGCACCAGGGGCATTCCTATAAATGTCCTGTGTAACTAACAAAGAGTTCCATAACCGATGGTGCTAGATTTGAAACAATTCAGCCAGAGAATAGGAATGACAAACAACAAAATAATTAATGACTCAGAGATAACAGATGAAAATATGCCACCATGGTGTAGTGGCTAGACGTTCTCCAGCAGATTCGAAGGTCGTGGATTCAGGTCTTGATGGAGCTGGACATTTTCAGGGTGTGTTTACTTCCCAGGACTTTGCCTGGTACCCATTTAAGGTGGGGTCACCTGGGAGACAAGGTCATGTTTAAACAAATCTAGCTCCATGCGGATTTAAATCTGTGACTTCTGGATCAGCCGGCGAGTGTGTAGCCGCTATACCATGGCAGCTTACATTCAAACAGAGCTAAGTGGAGTAATGTAACAACAGAAAGGAGTGGGAAAGGAGTTGATACAATTGCACATTATATAGAGTATTCAATAAGCTTAAGTGAGGTGAGGTCAGGTCACATGTTGTGACTACTAGAGAGATCTGTGGAAGGAGGGATAGAGGAAGACAACGAGAGAAGATTCTTGACAGTCTTGTTGCATGGCATGGAGGTGTGTCAGCATACGAACTGATACATGCTGCAGGAGATCGCAGATTGTGGAGAGGCATGATCGCCCACGCCAGTTGGCAAGGCACCTGATGATGAGGATGATGAGGTGAGTGATGCCAAAAGAGCTAACTCTTTGAGCCCCAAAGGCTTTAGCGTAGCAGGCCCAAGAGTTAGTAAAGAGAGACGTAAAATCGGCGCTTCATGCGTTATCTTCTGGGCTTCTAGGTACTGGGAAAAGAAAAGACAACAGACATCAGGATTAGTAATAATCATAACAGAAGAGGACTACAATGGACTAACATCATCTTTCACACCGGTAGTAACCCATTAGTGCTCTGTTCTTCTTCAAACTCAAATCTGAGTCCGAACAAGCTAAGAACAGTGCACGGCTATGTAGCACCAGCGAGGATCCTTAAATACTTTGGGTAGATTTTTAACTCTAAATTTGAGCCCAGGCAGTGCCCTTAGGCTACTATTTTTCAATTTCCAACTGCAAAGGAATTTTGTTATGTGCGCAACAATGCACATGGGCGTCACTACTCAGAGACCGGGGGGGGATTACTAGAAGTCCAAGTCCACGTGAAAAAATCCCAGCCTCGAGGCAGACACCATGCATCGAGACCACGCAGCCCCTCCAGATAGAATGGAATGGAGGAGAAAACAGCCAGCCCTATGTGACATATTATGGTAAAACATGAAAATGATGAATAAATGATATTCAAACAGATCCTGTACTGACCAGATACAATAAAGCAAAGTAAACAAGTAAAGTAAAGATCCCTTTTCACGCCTTTCGGCGCATTGGGCATATGGGCAGAGCGTCCCATATTTTTACAGACCATCTGCACTGTGGGTAATGTGGTCAGCATTACGCCGGCTGTCTTTACTTTCCCAGGACAGCCCATCCTGGTACCCATTTTAGGCTGGGTTGACCTGCGACGTCCCATACCACGACTAAAATCAACGCAGCCTGCAGTGGGTTTTGATCGCGGTATGCTGGCTTACGAGTCGGACTCGCAACGTCTTAGCCACGGACGCCGCAATAAAGCAAAGCATCAAACCTAATTCACCACTTTACATTTGATTTGTAGACTATGAGCAAGTCTTTGACAGCACTAACAGAGAATATTTCTGCAAACTGATGAGGCCCTATAGGATCTCACAGAAGATTATTAACTTATTAAAAAGCAATATATCAAGATACATGAAATGTCCAGTTCTTCAGGAGGGAATGCTAACAGATACATTTGAAATAAAAACATGTGTGTAACAGATGCATTTGAAATAAGAACATGTGTGTAACATATACATCTGAAATAAGAACATGTGTGTAACAGATACATTTGAAATAAAAACATGAGTGTAACATATACATCTGAAATAAGAACATGTGTGTAACAGATACATTTGAAATAAGAACATGTGTGTAACATATACATTTGAAATAAGAACATGTGTGTAATAGACACATTTGAAATAAGAGCATGTGTGACATGACAAAGATGTCTTTTGTCACACGTACTGTTTTTTAAAACTCGCAATAGACTTGATTATGAAGACAGCAACAGCTACTGCCAAAAGTGGAATTCAGTGGGCCCCTACAAAACAGTTTCATGATCTGTATGATATTTCTCTTCTATCCCACTCACAGAATGAGATGCACAATAAATTAAACACATTTGATGCAAGATCAAAACAACTAAGTCTAACAATCCATAAGGGGAAAAACAAATAATAATAACAGATAATTATATAACAATATAACTATTTACTGACTAATTAATTACAAAAAACACCAACTAATTTCTGCCCAAACTGATATGACAATATGTTAATCACCCATTGAAGTTCTCATGCTTGATTCAAAGTTTGTCTTGACTTCAGTGAACAGATCTTGCATCAGCATTTGTAGCACTTTTCCCTGGTGAAGATGATGAGGTATCATGCTCCGGATTCTCTCGACCCAAGAATTTTGCATGGGTTCAATCGGACCACTCTCAACACAGCTTTTCAGGAATCTATAGTTTAACTGTAGACACATTTTCAGGAATCTAAAATTTAACTGTATGAACATTTTCAGGAATCTATAGCTTAACTGTAGACACATTTTCAGGAATCTAAAATTTAACTGTATGAACATTTTCAGGAATCTATAGCTTACCTGTAGAAAACATTTTTAGGAATCTATAGTTTAACTGTAGGAAAATTTTCAGGAATCTATAGTTTAACTGTAGAAAACATCTTCAGGAATCTATAGTTTAACTGTAGATAACACTTCCAGGAATCTATAGTTCAATTCTTTGAGTCCCAAGGGGTTTAGCATCATAGGCCCAGGGGGTAGTAAGTAGAGTCATAAAATCGGCGCATCATGCGTTCATGGGCTTCTAGATAGAAACCAATGAACGTATGATGCATTCCTTGGGACTCAAAGAGTTAATTGCCTAAAAAGTTTCAGGAATCTATAGTTTACCTGTAAAAGAAATTGCAGGAATCTATAGTTTAACTGCTGAAAAAGTTTCAGGAATTTATAGTTAAACTGTAGGGGGAAAAAAAGCAAACCTTAGTTAAAAATGCAAAAAACCTTTCCACTCCCAGAGAACTGTCACTTCGACTTTTTCTTCTTCTTCTTTGTATTCTCAGGGTCTTAACTCTGGCAGAAAATGCTGGTCGTTCATCCACTTTTTGACTCTAATCCTGTTCCAGAGCCCAAGTCCCACTCACAGAATGAAATGCATGACGAATAAAACATATTTGATGCAAGATAACAACAGCAAGGTCTAACAATTCACAAGGGGAAAACAAATATAATAATATTAATAGATAATCCACAAGGGGAAAAACAAATATAATAATATTAATAGATAATTATAAAATAATAATACTATTTACTGACTAATTAATTTCAAAAACACCAACTAATTGATCTGTTTCACGAATCTGTTTTTTTTTAGATTAGTCTGCATTCAGTGAATGATGTGCTTAAATATCATGCTAGACTGTAGCTCCATCACACTATATCTCCTTCTTCCTAGCGTTCACCAGCTGTAAACTCAGATGACAAATTCTGGTTGTTTGTCCACTTCTGAAATTTGGTCTTGTTTCAGAACTTGAGTTTTGTTTCCATATCTGTTTCATAGATCTGGCTAATTTGTGCGCAGACTATTAGCTCCCTGCCTCTCAGGCATATTTACTCTGACTTTGAAGCACACAGGAGTCCCCGTGGCGGAGCGGCTAGATGCTTGCCGCAGATCGGAAGGTCGTGGGTTCGCTCCCTGGCGGAACCTGACTTTTTTCAAAAATGACCTTCGCTCCCAGGTCGACCCAGCCTTGAGTGGGTACCGGGTGCAGTCCCGGGAGGTAGAGGCGGCCGGCGTGATGCTGACCACATCACCCATCTTGTGCTGATTGGTCTATAAAAAATATAGGTCTAGCCCTATATACCCTATACGCCTAAAGGCGTGGAAAAGGGTCCTTTAGTTACTTACTTACTTTGAAGCACACACCCCTCATTAGTGTCTTTTATGACATGCTTGTTAGGGAGCAACAGATCTAATATTTGTCTCCCAAAAACTGTGCCCTGAAACCCACACACAAAAATGCATGCATTAATCATTATCACATGTTTTCACATTATTTATCACCTGTATCCTTCTCTCTTTGCTCATCATCTGCAATCAAACACAAAAAAGAAAATAAATGCAAAATGCACACATTTGTCCCCAAGACATGTAACACTATTAACCTTTAATCTTTATAAAATAATATTGCAGTTGTTATTCAAAAGAAATAATTTCTTTTTTTTTTATTCACAGTGTCATACATTTTTCCTTTACTTAATTTTTTCTCACTTAAATAATGAAAATAATTAATTCATCATCTCACATGACTCAGAAATTGACATTTTTTTTTCCCTCTCATCATTCATGTAGTTTTTTTATTTTTTTTATTAATTGCTAAATTTCAATCATTCACTGAGTTGAGTTGAGTCAAGAATTGACATCACAGAACTTAGGGCATTCCCATGCATGCTCCATCGTCATCTTCAGCAGCCAGTGCAGAGTTCCAATACTGATGGCACAATCTAGTTATATGGCATCTCTCATCATTCATTAATCATTCACTGAATAATTCATTAACTCACCTGAATATTCATTCATCATTCATTTATTTGTTTATTCATTTATACATATATTATTTGCTCAACTTTACCCTCTGATGTAGAGAGGTTTTAGTATCTAGATTTACAGATACATAGTTGTGTAAATGTCAGGACATCAAGAGGTGAGGAAAAGATGCTGCTGCTGGATAGGACACACACACAGTGAGATCTGATAATATGAATAAAAAGTCTCAGCCTTGGTATCTGATTGAACACATTAATTTTGTTATTGTCTCCACATTAGAAACCCTACCTCTTCAGGCATCTGTGGCTCTTCAAATTGTGGGTCATCTTTATGTCTTTCATACTCTGCGTGTTCTTTAACAGCCTTTTTCTCTGCTTCCTGTTTGCTGGAAACCATCAGACAGAATACATATTTATGATCACAATATGTTAAATTGGTAAGGGGGAATGAAGTGGTAAGCCATCACACAAACTAGGTCACAGAATAATAAGATTAATTTATTTCTCTTTTTTTAACTGTTTTTCTTAAAAGGGCTGTTGGCATACTGAGCTGTGGTTTACAGCTGAGCTGCGATGTCTGCACTTTTCAGCCCAACATATGAGAATTCAACTGTACTTAGAGGAACATCGGAGGGTAGTCAAAGAAGAGGAGGGCAAAGAAGAACTTGGAATGATAACAGGAAGAAACTGACATAACTAAGTTATCATACACTTGTTCATCAAGGGGAAGACAGAGAAAATAGGGTGTTTTATGTGCTAGTGCTTTCATCAATACACGTCCATGACCTAAGGGGTCAAGGGTTAGGTTATGTTAAATGAGAATTCAGTAAACCCTTCATGAGATGCCTTTTATAAAATTCTGCATGTGTAAGTAAAATATGGAGAATATGCATCTTTCTCATTGCAACTTATGAATGGGTCTTTTATCTTGATAACACAAGATGATAACTTAGCACAATTCCCATGATAATTTAGTTTTTATGTGAATCATGCTACATGATCTCAACATGAAGAAGAATTGGCTTACAAACAGCATCCTGTTCCAAAAGCGGAGGTAGTTTGGTCCTGTTTAACATCGTGGTGACCTGGTGAGAACAGTTTCTGGGAAAACGACGCAGAGGCAGACCAAGGGGATACTAGATACACAACATTAAAGATGCACTGGCTATGAAAGCACATGGGGCTGGAGAATCAGCTAGAGAAAGAGAGACTTTTAGGCGTGCTGTGATGGGAACAATATTGTCTAAAGGACCTGCTGATAAATGATCTTTCCTGCCTTCATTTTGCTTGTTTCTTGGTCTTCATGCTGTTCTACAACTAAATTTACGTCTGCTATATCCCAGTGAGGGTTCCAGGGCACTATTGTAAGGAAAACAAGAACTGACCCAAGTGTCATTAGAGTCGACTAATTGGAGGTTGCCTTCAAAGTCGCAGTTTACCTGCCTGAAAGGCAAGGAACCAACAGTCTGCACACAAATACGTCAAGTCTATAAAACTGATGTGCATGCAACACTCAGGTTCTGAAACAAGTCTAAAGTCCAGAGGTGAATGAACAACCAATATTTTCTGCCGGGGTTTACAGCCAGTAAACATGAAGAAGAAGAAGAAGAATAAGAAGAAGAAGAAGACTTTTGCTATAGGCATCTAGCAGTAAATGACTACATTCTCATAAATGACTGAATCATGAATGACAATACTTCACTGAGAGTATTCCCACATGTGCTCTGTTCCCCTCCTCAGTAGCTAACAAAAAGTTCTGGTACCAATGGTACTAGCTGCAGCCTGATCAAAAGTCTACCTGTCTTTTCCTCAGTGTGGTGACAGCTATCCAGACCTCTGCCTGCTCCCGATTATCAGTCTTTCAAGTGAGGGATACAGTGTTTCTTCCACTGCTCTATCCACTTGATCCGACAGTTTTCATCACATCCACTTTATCATAAGGTAGCTAGCCATAATGACAAGCAGCAGCAAACAATCTTTCAGCCTGCTTTTTACCCAATACACTGGAATATCCCAGGTATATCATCACCATCATCATCCTGTAACACTACGTGTCGTTGGGTCACCAGTTTCTGTTGACTGTCTGATCACCTCTCTCCATCTTTGGCGGTCAGTTGCGATGGACTTAATGGTTGCATGCCTGAGGTCTGTCCAGTCAGTCAGGTTCTGTAACCAGGTCTTTCTTGGTCTGCCTCTTCTCTCCCTCTTTTCCTCTTCTGAGCACTGCAGTATTGTTTTTGAGAGGCAGTTACATCTTACTTGCATACCATTGCATTTTTCACCTTTTCCTGCTTGGACTATTTTTTTAACTTTGTGAACAACTGTTCATATGGGACATCAGTCTCTATTTTTAAAAGCATGCTCTGTGAGTCCTTTATATTTACTATTCTTAGAAATTAACAGCCAAAGCAAATATTTTATTAAAATCGCGAATCTTAACAGGCAGGTCATATAATCTACAATCACAAATAAAATATTAAAATCGGTTAAACATTTTTTTTTTCAAAAAATACCTACATTATTGCCATGAGGAGTTTTTTCTGCTCATTTTGCAGCCTGAATGACAACAACCTGCTGTTAGAGTATGACGTAACTGGCACAATGTGTTGCTTGTGTATTGGTGGTAAAACTAAAATGGTTTCCTCTTTTGATTCCCTAATATCTGGCAGTGGTGGAAGAAGGTCTCTCTGGGGTGAACCCCGACCTTTTGTGTAGTTCTTTACTGAGGTCATGGTCAGGTGTCAGTGAACATCAGCTGCTAGAATAAATTTATTTTTGAAAAAGTATCATTTGAAAGAATAAAAGGGAAATAGTATGAGAATACATTGGGCACATTCTGAGATGAAGTAGAGAAAGAATTACAGAATGGGCACTGAAATGAGAAACAAATGGATGAGAGAGGTGAGAACATCAAAGAGATACCCCACAATAAACACTGATGAAAGAAGGCAGACGTGATGGACTAAATTACATACACAGAAGAGAATTTAGAAATCAGTTGTGAACCATGCGTGGTGTATAAATGGTACAAGTAGATAATGGATGATGAAAACATTATTTAAAAAGCTTTAACTTTTGCATGTATATTCTATTAACTATTTTAGTTCCAGCGATGTGTTACTTCAACTCCTCTTACCTAAAGAATGTGTTGCTTAAAATTAATTAATGTTGTGTCAAAAGCAATTCTTTTTTAACAAATGTAATTCTATGCAACTGAGGGAGTTAAAGTAATGATAAGAAGAGTGGGTTAATGTAACAAGTGCATCAGAAACAAGAACTTAAGGAAAAGCTAACAGTGTCAGGAGTTCCTAAAGGACACACAGCGTGTTGCTTAGAAAAATGAGTTAATATGAAGTGGGGAGTTTTGGTTGCTTGATTTGTTTGCTGGTTGGTTAGTAGTCTCGTTAGTTAGTTGGTTGTTGTGAGTTGAGTTGAGTCAAGAAATGACATCACAGCACTTGAGGCATTCCCATGAACGCTCCGTCCTTATCTTCAACAGCCCGCACAGAGTTCCAATACTGATAGTACCGGTAACAATCTGGTTATATATCAGTCTTGCCTTCCCTCTGACTGTTGTGAGTTGGCCAGACCCTTTGGTTACACCCAGGTGCCTCATTTTCTCCAGGCCATAGTAATCTTCTTTCTCTACTGATTCGGTTGCTTGTTCCCAAAGGGCCTTGACCACATCTGCCCTGTCATGCATCAGTACACCACCCAGTGGTGCAGATCCAGCCAATCTGTCTACCTCTTCATTACCCACCATGACAGCATGGCCTGCAGAAAAGATTCAAAGTATGCTCACCACCCGTGACCTTTCTTGCCACTCTGCTTGAAGCATCCATGTCTTCACCCTTCTCAGCATGCTTTCAGAGTCTGTTACAATTATGACATGAGTATGCATCTTGTTCTCTAACCATCACAGAGCTGCAGTTACCGCCTCCACCTCCATTCTCATTCTAGATGCTGTGGTGTCATATGCTAGGCTGTCTTGCACTAAAGATTTTCCATTTGCTTTCACTACAGGCCCCCAGGCATTTCTCTTTCCTCTCAACACTGAAACCATCTGTATAAATAATCAGATCACCTGGGTGTGAATTGTCATGAATTAACTGTTAGGCTTCCACATAGCACCTGCTATCCACTCTCTGCACACCTGGCCCAATGTTATCATAACTCTACACAGATCAGACTTTCCTGCTGGTACTCTGACCCACTCCTCTCCTCGCCCAATATTCTCCAGCATGCATACTTGTCCTATTTTGTCTTTTGCTTGAGCTATCCTCAATTTTTCCCTTTTCAGCCTCTGACCCTTACCTGTAGCCAAAGCTTCATACAGCGGGTGTTCCCTGTCTGCAGCTACTCTGAGGTATGACTTACCCTGAAGCACCTTTAGCCTATATGCAAGAGTCAGCAATGCAATGATGTATCGCATGCACACAATCGGGGTGTCTGTTATACATCCCAGGATCAGCCGCATAGCTTTATTCTGTATGCACTCCAGTTTCTTTAGCTGACTCTTCAAGACATACTCAACACCGTGAGTAACCCCAATCCATAATCAGTCACTGAGATGATTAAGTGCTGGTTAAGTGTGAACAGCATTCTCTGCTCCACATCCATCGCTGCCATAATCTTTAGTGCATTTAGACCTTTTTAAGCCCTTGTCACAACCCCCTCTATGTGATCCTTGAAAGACAAACATCTTTGTGGTATATAAATGGTACAACTGGATAATGGATGATAAAAACATTATTAAAAAAAGCTTTAGCTTTTGGATGTATGATATTTTTACTAACTCTTTTAGAGATGTGTTACTACAACTCCTTCTACCTAAAGAATGTGTTGCTTAAAATTAATCAATGTTGTATCAAAAGCAATTTTTTTACAAACGTAATTCTATGCAAATGAGGGAGTTTAAGTAATGATAAGAAGAATGGGTTAATTAACAAGTGCTTCAGAAACAAGAACTTTAAAAAAAAGCAAACAATGTGAGGAGTTCCTAAGGGACACACAGTGTGTTGCTTAGAAAAATGAGTTAATATGAAGTGGAAAGTTTTGGTTGCTTGATTTGTTTGCTGGTTGGTTAGTAGTCTCGTTAGTTGGTTGGTTGTTGTGAGTTGAGTTGAGTCAAGAAATGACATCACAGCACTTGAGGCCTTCCCATGTGTGCTCTGTCCTCATCTTCAGCAGCCAGCGAAGAGTTCCAATACTGATGGTAGCGGTCACAATCTGGTTATATGTCCGTCTTGCCTTTGCTCTAAGTGTAGTGAGCCAGCCAAACCCTCTGGTTACACCCAGGTGCCTCATTCTCTCCAGGCCATAATAATCTTGATTGGTTGTTGTGAATGCTTTGGAAGACCACTTTTTAACTATTGTCAAAATTGATTGGTATTTTAGTAACAAGAGCAGGTGCATGATTTCTATCTATCTATCTACTTTTACCCCACTAGGACATTACACAAGCGATAAACACCTCATGACACAAAGTGCCACCATGTGGATGATGCACCGTGGAGAGGTCCCCAGAACCACATTCAGCCATTAGACCATATTTATGGCTGGGCTATACTGCGGCCCCTGGCAAGAGCCAGAGTAGGGCTTCAAATAATGAAAAATTGCATCCTACATGGGGATGGCAAGACAGTAATTCATGATTTCATTTTGTCACAAATATTATCCAGTATTATGAAAACTGAGCAATTAGCAACAACAAAATAAACACCTGGAGCACAGTACTATTCATGGTATATTAGACACAAAGCTAATTACAAATAATAAGACACAATTATTTTTTTAACGTAGCAGTGTCTGTATGTGTGTGCGCATGTGTGCACACACACACACACCCACCTACACACGCATGAGAGAGACTCACAGACAGACAAACAAAGGGGGGCAGAGAGTGTGTACTTCTTACACCCTAAGGGACACAATCTATTGAAAGTTAACAATAATGTAAGTGCCGACCCTAGGGGATGTTATCCATTGTTTATGTAAGTTCACATAAAAATAATATTCTTTCACATTTAATATTATTTAACTTTTAGAGTCCTATGCGGCTTATCATCAAAGGCCCAGGGAGCAGTCAGGAGAAACATAAAATTGGCGCATCTTGTGCTCACTGGGCTTCTGGGCAGAAACCTATGAACGAATGCTGCATTCCTAGCCATCTAGTTTAGCCCCAATCCACGCCGCGTGATCGGCGTGGGGGATACTCTCAGTGGTGGCGCTAATCGCTAGAAGTTTGCAATTCAGCAGTGGCGTTATAGTCCCTGGAAGTGCGCAATTGACACGTGACTGAGGTCCTATTAGGGTATATTTGCCGCCTCGATAATTAATTTGGAGGATAGCCGATTGATTTAAGCATCTAAATAGCTACTTTAGTATTTTTTAAAGTAACAATAAGATAAACTTTAAGTAAACTTTAAATGCTAAGAATTTATCGCCACCAGAAATCTACATCTACAAAACACAATCTGCTGTTTCCGCGCTATAAGTTCTTGGTTATGCCTGAGCCCACAGAACTGCTCATGGATTCTGGAAAAGAAAATGGGCTCTCCTAGCAGATTTGGCCGGCAAGCTAGACGGCGTCGGCTGGCTTAGTAGGAGTTATGGAGAAAGTCGTGGAAAAAGTCACGAATCAAATGACATACTTACCTACCATCATCCGGGTGTGTGTAGGGTTGCGTACGGTTGCGTCTAGGGTTACCTATCATCCTACGGTTGCGCGTAGGGTGTCTATCATCATCATACGGTTGCGTGTAGGGCTGCGTAGGGTGTCTATCATCGTCCTACGGTTGCGTGTAGGGTTGCTTAGGGTTTGGGTTAGCGGTAGGGTTAGGGGTTAGGGTTAGGGTTAGGGCTAGGGTTAGGGGTAGGGTTAGGGTTAGCTGTAGGGTTAGGGTTAGGGGTAGGGTTAGGATTAGGGTTAGATGTGAAAATTTTCATGTAAGAGGTCGAAATACTGGCTGACGAACTGATGTTTGTGAGAGTGGCGCCACTGGACGTGTGACAAATATGACGGCAATAGTGCACGGCTGGTGCCCAATCGGTGGCGAATTGTCCATGTCAGTAGCATCCATCGTCCGTCGACTGTTTGCGCGTGCATGTGACTGTGCGCGATTATAGGGAACTACGGCGTCACAATTGTCACATCTAACGCTACACCTAACCCTAACCCTAACCCAAACCCTAATCCTACCGCTAACCCTAACCCAACCCCTAACCACGCAAATTTATCGGTCATTAAAGCTTACAGATCGGCAAAACACCCACAGACAGACACACAGAAAGAAAAAAAACCCCCAGATTTTCCCGCAGCGTCAAAAGAAAAACCCAGACCTGGGGGACACAACGAAGCATTGGCAGCCCTGATGTCGACCTCAATGTCGTGTTTGAGTCGTGACTTTTTCCGCTCGTTTTTGTGAGTGCGGCCAAGGGAAAGAACTCCCACTACGCCGACCGAAGCCGACCTACTTGCCGGCCAAATCTGCTAGGAGAGCCAGAAAATGTAATGTTACTCAAAAATCAGTTGTGAGTTGATCCTATGCCCTATGCTTCCTTTGATTGTTCTACTAATATAAAGCGTCGTTTTCCACGCAAAATCAACCTATGTTTTTATAAATCTTTGCATGGGTTTTTCAATTATTTAATAATATTAGATTGACATGGTTAACCAAAACTTAAAATCCAAAACAAACGTCATGGATGACAACAATGAAATGCGACATAT